TCGTCCGAGCTAAACACATCGGAATAGCTCGCTAATAATTTATGAATCGCACAACGCTGCTCAGCGGAAAGGGCCGAATTTTCCGCACATAATTCGGCGATCCAACGATCGTCCACCCCTCCGTCGTGTGAAACACCACCCACCAGCCCCCCGTCCGGAATGTCACTCTGAGCCGTAAACGCCGTAGTGGCGTGTGCCACAACGGTACCAGCCGGCACACACACGCTTTCAGAAGTCGCATTTAACACCTGCAAAAACGGGCGCTGATCCGGACGGACAATGGTTTGCGCCCCCACCAGTGCCAATCCGCCCGTAACAGCGGCGGACGGCGACAGCAAAATTCCACAAGCACTCTGCCGACCCGGAACCGGCTTCCGGTATCGTAGGGGAATGAGCATCTGCGAGCCAGGTGGAATATCAACTGAAACTTCCGATAACGCCTGCACCTGGGCAACCGGAGCCGGTCGCCCCCAGGTGGACTGTAAAAACGCCAATTTGCGGCCCCCTGGCAGTTCAATGCAATTTTCATTGATTCTAATTAAAATGGGCATCTTAGCCAAAAAATCCGTGCCCAACAAGCAAGGAACCGCCAGGGACCTCGAAATTAACACAACGCCCGAGGCCGAGACCCCCCCGATAGAAATATTAGCGTCCACCTGTCCCACGATGCCCATACTACCCCCGTTCGCAGCGATGCAGGAAGCGTAAGCCGGCCTCACGGCCCCCGGTGGGATGTTCAAAAGATGGAATATGACATCCGAAATAATGGTCGCGGACGCCCCGGAATCCACCAAAATACGCACGCCCACCCCTTGGATCGACCCCGGTACAGTGGACGAACCTGTAGCGGCCGCGACAACCCGCCGAGCCAACTTACGCCACTGCGTTATCGAGCGACAAGGCGCAGATACTGGCCTCCCATATTTTAGAACATCCGCGTCGCACAACAACGGCGATGAGTGAGGTGTCAGGCCTTGCCGGGTGTCTGGTGCGCACCGACTTGCCTGTGCCGGAGGGTCTTTCTTTGGGACGTCCGCGATCGAGGCCTCCTGCTGGGGCGGCCCCGGAACCCGGGCCCAGCAGTCCCTGGCATAGTGGCCCCGACGGCCGCAGCGGAAACAGTCGACGTCGGGTCGGCGTGCAGCAGGCACCCCGTCCCGACGTGGCCGCGCCGGCGGCGGAGCCCGCGGCCCCGGCTCGCTTCGAGCCGGCCACGGAGTGGAGGCGGCCGACAGCTCCTTTGGGCCGGTCGCATCCGGCACGTACACGGCCTTTGTAGGGTCCCACCCTACGGCCCCCCCATCGACGACAGGACCGCCCGTCCACGCCGTGACTTGTTTCCAGCGGCGGAGATTGAACTGGGCGTCCAAACACTTAGCCGCGGTCCGGGACGTGAGTTTCTCGTGACCGCAAGCCGGCATAGGAATGCCCAGATCCCGGGATAACTCCAACATCTTCCCCAAGATGAGAGGTTCCAGCAGGTCAGGCTCCGTCTCCGGGTAAGCGGCCATCGCGAGTTCCAGCACGGCGCCCCTGTACGCTACAGGCGACTCCTCCGGTGCGCGTTGCCGCTGCACGAAGCGGCGATGGGCGTCATCCGGTGGCTCGTACGCGTCCGCCATTTCGTCGAACACTCCACGCAATGTTTTCTTCTTCGCAGCTTTTATAGAGCGAAAAAAACGAACAGACTCATCGTCAAGGAGAGTCGGAAGCACCTCCAGCGCCTCGGCGTCCGTCCACCTTGCCGTTCGTACCGCCGCCAAAAATCGACAAGCGAACGCACTCCAATCGCCCCCGATGGAGAACTCCTTAACAGTTGTAAGGTGACGACTGCGGCTCCTTGGCCTGCTTCCGTCCGTCACCGACTCTTCCGGCGGCAAGTTCAGCAAGGCGTCGCAACGCGGTGTCGCCAAGATGGCGGACGATCTTCGTGGCGGCCCCAAGATGGCGGCTTCCCGCCTTCCGTGGTGCGCCACGCCCAAGATGGCGTCTTCACGCCGCGTGGTCGATGGCGGCGCCATCGAAGACGACCCGGGCTCCTGCCGATCACCACCATCACCTTCCAACGCCGCCCTTGGCGTGACAAGGTCACACAACTCCGTGATGACGGTTTTTAGGGTCGCCAGTTGCTCCGCCATCCGGGTCCATCTTAAATCTTCGTCCTTCAACGCAGATGGGTCGGGCGCAGCGGCAACCTCCTCCACACCCGGGCCCTCACGGATCTCTCCCTCCGCCGAAGTGAAGCCGACCTCAGGAGGAAGATCGTCGTCGTCCGATGATGAAGCCGACGCCGGAGATGGGATATTCTTCTTCCTCAGTTGTTTCGCCATGCCGTTTCACTTCTGACTCCAGTGTAATAAAAGGACTCGAACACTTCTTTCTGTCTTCGTGTCTTTATTCAGGTTCACGTCTTTACCCACACGGCACTCTGTTATAACTCCTGTATTTGTAGCCCCCGGCTATTCACTGCTATTATAGCTTCCTCACCCCTCTGACTCTCTGCTTCATCTACTGTAACCTCCTCCCTGCAGACTTGCTGCTACCCCTATGTGCAGACCCTCTGGCTGTCACTGTATGCAGACCCGCTGCCCACTCTCTCTGTGCAGCCCCGCTGCTGACTGCAGCCTCCTTGCTGCTTCGGGTCGGTCACCGCTGGCCAACGGTGCCGATCCTCGCTTCCCCCGTGTTCGTGGCGATCTCGCCACACCCCGCTTCGCCCTACGTGGCCTTCCTCTGTTCCTGGCTCCCAGTCACTCCCCCTGCTCTTCCGGTTCCCCTCCTTCTATACTCAACCCCTCTCCCCCCACGTGACCTAACTCCTCCCCCCCTGACGGCACCTCAGAAGGGCCGTTTACAACCGCATTACACTAGTATAGTACACTACACACTAGTGCTGTACTAGTATACTACACTATACACTACATTATACACTACACTATACACTACACTACACACTAGTGCTGTACTAGTGACGAATTGGCACGTTCTGTTTACTTTACAAACCTTACTAGCTGGCTGTGTCGGGTGGTGGCGGATTTAAAGACACATTTATATATTTTTGCGATCTAACCCAAAAAATCTATATCACGGATGATATTTGTGGCACATTAGGAATGGACCACTCTTTTAATTCTTTCCTCGTGCAGCAATGGAGTAAAGTGTGGTTTTGTGAAGGTCCTTGTGCGCTGTGCAGAACATCAATGGACGTGTGGACACCAGCATGCGATACTGAGTCGGGCCTGTAGGTGGCTGGCAGGGCTATGGAGTAACCTGACCGGTACACCAGTCACGTGGCTAATGGCGACTCGGAAACTGCTGTGACACCACGTGTTGTTGCATTTTACAGATTACCACAATAAATGTGTTTGCCCTCGATTTGGAGCACCTGCCCACGTCCTTCATTTCGAGTGTGCAACATATTGGTCGCAAAAGCCTGCTACCTCGTGTTAAACTTCACAGTTGTGTACACTTTGTGTTCAAGCGTCTAATTCTCCCGTCCAGTTTCGTGACGCAAGTCTCGAGCGGCAACGCGCATCAAAGCCGTGGCGAGGGCGCGACGCTTTGCCGCACTTCCCCTGCCCATTCCGGAGTGCGTTCGAGAATCGGAATCTTGATGTGGGCTGGAGGAGCTATTAAAGCTCCCCCCCACCCTCCCCACAGACGTCCAGTCGAGGCGGGTCAGAAAGTTACGACGACGCAATCACGATGGGGGGTGGGGGTTGCAAAGTAACGTTCATAAATCAGTCGCAGTTGTTCGTTCCTTTGCTCATCCGCATGGCGATTGACAACCATGCAACAGAGTCGATGTGTAAAGTAGTGTCAGTGTTGTGAGCCATTTTATGGGATTCAGAGTGGCTGGAGTGCAGTCCGCAGTACAAGTCAATTGAGGTAAAAATTACGAATTTTGCCCTCCAAAAAACAAAAATACCACGTGGTGCTTTCTGGAGAAAAAATAAAAACTTCACCGCATTGATATTTTGGTGGAGTCCTTGATCGTCAATTCATAGAGGAGATATCGACACCTTCGAAGTGATGTTGGGACTTGATTGAGAGCCCCCCCCCCAATCCCCCCGCAACTGCTGTCAGGGGCAGAGAAACCAGAGCTGTGCCCTCCTCACGTCTTGAGTCTAGTTACGTTCTTCAGTCGCAGTGGAGGCATTCCGTGAGTGCGGATGGCGTCTGTGTCAGTTTCCATTGACTCGGAATGCCGTGAAAATCTACAAGCTGCCAGGCATAATGGGAATCGATGTCTTTTCTGGAATCTGATTGCTATTGTGGTTAGTGGTAAAAAGAAATGTAAATGCCACTTTGCTCTGTACGTGTGCGCACCGCTGCCAATGCAGCAGCAGCATCACCAAATAATTCCTCATTATCTGCTGCTTTCACCACTACGCGGTGTTTTTTCTCACTTGCGATGCTTTTTAAACACTCGACCTGCTTGTGTACAACATCTCCGCAGCATGTTAGGGTGCGCCACGGTGGCGAGATGTTAACTACCTCGCCTGGTATACGGGAGGTCGTGGGTTCGATCCTGACTCTGACATTTGCCGTTTGCATGTCTCTCTCCCCGTGGTCGCGTGGATTTTTCACCGGGTCCTCCACCTTTTCCCTCCACATTTAGAAACATGCGTTGAGACCAGTGGTTCTTAGCCTTTACTGCAGCCCTGTGGTTCTCAATCGTAAAAGTATGTTTCATACATAGTTTTGATGAAACAAAGTAGTTGTACTTATGTGTGCGTACTTAATGTGTTTCGATGATTTACCTTAAAAAAAAAACCTGGCCATGCCTCGCACCCCCAGGGAGTGCATGCACCACCCCAGGCGAAGAATCACTGGTTTAGAGTTATTGGCTGCTATACATTTCCACATGAATTACTTTCATGAGAAGGATGTGCTCAGCGAGCCTTAACTGTATCTGGGCAACCCCATCTGAAGTAACCGATTGAATCCAAAACTATACGGGCTCACAGAGAGCGTTGTACATTACAGGAACTCACAACTTTGACCCGCAGGTACAGGTTTATTGGAAGCAATTTCAGCACAGCCCCACACACACAGTATAAGCCAACATGCAATATGCAACTGCAAATACGTGCAACGAAGTGTGTGTGCTTTTTTTTACGTGAGAAAAGTTTCCACCCGTGTTTGAGAAGTCCCCAGCACGCCTCACGGCTGCGTCGTTCTGACGTGGCTTTGCAACGATTAAGAACACATCTGCAGACTGTTGCCAAAAAAACAGAACGGGTACTTGCCAGACTTGTGCTCAATTTTTCCTCAGAAATTCTCTACCGGCTTTACCAGTATATAAAGGCGTACCAGACCGCGTATTTCCATCAAGCCAGGCGGTGGCCTTTAAAAATCAGCCTGCAAGCTTTTAGGAATGTGGAATTTGTCACCAATGGCTCAGTGCCACCAATGCAATCGAGCACTGTAGCTGATGTCTGGTTGACTGAGGAGATTCTACAACTGGTCGTCATTGGCAGCAGCAATGGGTGCAGATGGTGGCCACGTGACTCAATGGGGTTTACGGTGACCACGTGGTTCAGCAAGTTCAGAGTGGTCTCATCACACCACAATGTCATCACTGTTGAACTACAGTCGGAAGCTGGCTTTCGGCCACCCTTAATTAAAGAGGCCCACAAATGCAGCGACTTAATTGTATCACAAACGATTGTTTGACCGTGGTTCTATTTAAAAAATAAATGCTTCGGCCCGACCGATCTCTAAGACGCACCCGTCAACAACTGACACACACGGCAAGCCGCCCAAGCGCCGTAAAAACTACCGCGTGAGAGGCAAAGTTAAAGTGACTCCGGGAGTAGTTCTGTAGTCATCTTCCGGGGGCCCATTCCCGGTCCCTGACGGGAAGCGAGGCTCTGCCATAACCTTGGGGGGGGGGGGGGGGAGTTCTGCACCCCCCAGACACGATTCATGGTAAAAGCACGCGCACAAAACGCGTGCGTGTACTCAACGCATCATTTCCTTGGCCGAGTTGAAACCTGGTTTTAAAAGCAAACCGGTCATGCCTGCTGAGCGATTTGTGTTGTAAAAAAAACGACCTGAAGTAACGTAAAAAAGAGGCTCAATCCTTCACAAATCGGATCAAACGTTATTACATATTCACAGAGATTCGAGACGAACTGAGAATGAGAAAAGGAAATACGCGTGCGGCGTGCAAGGCAGTGACGAGGAGGGGACGATCACGGCGACAGGAGCGGCGGAGAGTCGGGTGCGCGGAAACCCACGAAGGCTGCGACGTGGCGATGTAAGACAGAGGAAGAGAGAGAGAGGAGCTGAAAAGATAAAAGTGCGGCTCTTCATGTGCGGTTTCGTTTTTGAATTCGTTGCGTTGCACTCCCAAGGTGAAGCCGCCGACACCACTGCGTGCAAACGCTATCATTCGCCGTTTAAATACAAATCGGTGGCAACGGTTGCGGAGTAGGCATTCACCAGAGACCCAGAGGGCCAGTGGCTGAAACGCGGCGTGTTTCCGTTGGAACCGATGAGGCAGCGTGAATGTGGCATTTTATTTTTATATTGTGTGTATGCATGTGTGTACGTCGAACTCCGTTCGCGCCGTACGTAGCCAACCGTGCTATTCGTTACGGCGGCAGATCGGTGTCCGATTAAAACATTGGTGAACACCCAATACACAGCCCAAGTTCGATCTTAAACCAGGCGAGCAACTGCTGCCCACTATTCAGGCCATCAAAACAGCAAAAAGGGAGTGCTATTTATTTTAGTTCAAAGTAAAAACCATTTGAATAATTAAACCTGCATGGCATTTACACAAGTTAAAACCAAGGTGCTTTTTTAAAACAATTAATTGTAATCTCCTCGGGCTATAGAAGACAAAAGAAGAAGTCTGCTCTTGTTTGTAATTCAGCTGCACATCAGGTGCACAACATTAACGCGTTACCAACCAATCACAGTACACCTTTATAATGTCAGCTAGCAAAGGTCCAAAGCCAACCCACGTGTTCTCAACTGCATGCAGTAGGCCACAATTACGAATTATTATTATTGAACCTGTGTATCCAAGAAGGGGTCTCACTGAGAATCTGGAGCGGATCTGGAGAGTTTGGAGGGGCACCACAGTGGCCAGATGTTAACTACCTCACCTGGTATACAGGTTTTCATGGGTTTGATCCCAATCCTGACGCCTGTACATGACGAGTTTGCATGTTCTCTCTCCCTGTTGGCGTGGATTTTTCTCTGGGTCCTACGGGTTTTCCCTCCACACTTAGAAGCGTGCATTTAGAGTACTTGGCGGCTTTCTATTTCCACGTGATAAGTCACTTTGTGAAGCTATCGTCACTTCCGAAAGAGTGCTGTATAGTTCAGCGGGCCTTACCTGGCTAAATAAAAAGTTTAGTTTTATATGATAGTCCGTTGAGGCCTTCATCCAGCAGCGGATTATTGATCATCAATGATGATTGTTTGGCCAGGAAAACCTCTGAAGACTCTTTCAGGAGGGCCATGCCAAGTTTTCACAGTCGTGGGTGATGTTGCTATGTTCACTCTCAATTCAGTCATTTTCACTGAAATGTTCAGCATTGGGATGCTTTGACCAATACCAGTAGTGACATTGTATTTTTTTTAGCTCTGGGAGGATACCGTAGAAAACACGGAGGAAATCCATGCAGAACAGGGGGAGACAGAACACATACAATCTCCACGCAGAATACTCTTTGGTTCTTTCGGTAAAGTCACGTAGGTAGAAAAATAAAATAAAACATATATCACGAATAATCCCGCAGCAGAACTGCTTAACCAGACAGAACACGCCGCAGTAGAACTGCTGAACCAGACAGAACTCGGTTCAGCAGTTCTACTGCTGAATAATTTTGTCTGCCCGAGGACGATCGCTTGTGTTGCGATCGAAACGTCGTGATAGATTATTTTTTTATTTTATTTTATTTTTCTACCTACGTGACTTTACTGAAAGAACCAAAGAGTTTGGATTCCTGCAGTCACGAAATCTTCAAATCAAGATCCACACAAAATGGCACCCCGATTCTGGAAGAGAACTCGGCACGCAGGCGTTACCACCGTGCCACCCTGCAGAGATTCCACGATTGCTTCGTGTGAACGTGCAGCTCAGCACACGGCAGATGCCTGCGCAGCGCGACTCACGACCTCCTCTTGATACCAACATCCAGGACGGTCACGTCAATGTGCCACTTCTCGGTGGCTGCCCCAATAGTCTGGAACGCCGTCATCCCTCTGCACATTCGCAGCATCACCTCAATCGTCTCCTTCAAGAGACACGTAAAAACTCACCTCTACAACCACGCTTTCGAACGACTCCGAGCTTGGATCCGCGCCTCTGAGTGAATTATTTATCTTATTGTCGTTAAAATGCAGGCTTAGTTTATTTCCTGAAAAGTTGTACGCACTTGGAAAATGTGGTGAACCGTAAGTAGAACTCTGAGATGACCGACATATTTCATTAACCGGCACCCTCCGTTCCCCATGGAATGCCGGATAACAAAACTTTTTTGCTGAATTAGTATTAGAAATTGGGGTTAAACGTTCAGGATTAAGAGACATTGTTAAAGGTTAGGATAACGGTTAGAACAAACAGAGGCAAGGGCTAATTTATTGTTTGGCGGTGAAGTTACAAGCAGACGCTAGGGGATCGGAGTTAGTGGATGGGGTTAGGATTAGCGTGAAGATTAAAAGGTAGGGTTAACGTTCGGATTATAAAACCATGCTGATGATTGGGAAGTTAAAGCCGGACTTGTGGTTAAGGGCTCGGAATCTGTGGTTGGGCATAGGGTCATGGTTATGAGAGAAAGTCTAGGGTTAGGGAGAGGGGTTTTAAAGTCTGGGGGCAAATGTTTCGGATGAAGAGACGATGCTTAGAGCTGGGCATCACGAGACGGAAGGTTGGGGGACAGGGTCGGGTGGCCAGGGTTTAGAAGAGAGGGGAAGATGGTTTTGAGAGGAGGTTGTAGAGGCGACAGTGGACGAGGCGAGGGGGGTAGTAGGGGATTGAGGGAGGGGTGTGCCGGGGCAACGGCGTGGTCACGTCAGAGGAGCCTGTAGAGCCGCACTTGGCTCTGAATGTCGGCGCGGCAGAGGGGGCAGGAGGTGAGCAGCGCCCCGCAAGCGGCGCAGCAGCACACGTGTCCGCAGGTGAGGAACACCGTCTCCGGCTGCACGAGGCACACGCAGCAACCCACCCGGGGGGTTACACACGCAGGACTCGGTGCGCTGGAGTCACTCTGTAGCGCGGGTGAAATCTGTTCTGCCCTCCACCCGGTGATCGTGAGCACGCTCAACTTCCCACAAAGAGGTGCTCGTTTTATCTTCCTCAGAGGGATGTGTTTGTATGAATGTGTGTTAGTATATATGTGTAAGTATTTATTCCTGTGTTTGTACATAACACAGGCAAATGTGTATGTGTACATGCATGTGTACACATGTGTATAGGCATGATTGTGCATGTATTTGTATGTGTGCATGCGAGTGCTCCTGTATGTGCGCATGCATGTACGTGTATGTATTCAAATACATAATTGTGTATTCCTGTGTGCGCATGCACGTATGTGGATAAATGTATTCAAACACACACGTGTGTACGTGTTTATTCCTGTGCGTGCACGCTAGCGTGGTGGGCCTGTAAACCGCGCGACGCGCGCGCGCACGCACCTTGCGCTCCATGCACACCACGCACTCGGCCTGCTCGGCCCAGGGCGAGGGAGACAGCGGCGGCAGCGGGGAGAGCGGCGGCGGCGTCCACGTGGGAGAGGGCCACTCCGGCACAGCCGGGGCCGTCGGCTCGACCGGCGCCCTCCCCGTGGCAAACGCGGGCAGGCTGGCGAAGGTGGCGCTCGCCAACGCTGCACGCGCCGACGACGCGATGGGTGCAAGCAAACGGTGGCGAGGACGCCGAGCGGTGAAGGAGGCGAGCAGAGTTCGATTCCGCCGCTCCCTACGTGCAGGCTGATGCACGACTGCAGGCCCCGGTGATAAAATAAACTTGTGCTGCACAGGGACAGCTGGGCACTGGGGATGCCCTTTGAACCGTTTAGATAAATAAGCAATAAGCGGCGTTCATCTGCCAGCGGAAAGGAGGGCGGCGCTATTATCAACAGCGAATGACTCGTCGCTGTGAGCGGTGGGTACGTCATGAGCGATGGGTACGTCATCAGTGGTGGGTACGTCATGAGCGGTGGGTACGTCATGAGCGATGGGTACGTCATGAGTGGTGGGTACGTCATGAGTGGTGGGTACGTCATGAGCGATGGGTACGTCATGAGCGGTGGGTACGTCATGAGTGGTGGGTACGTCATGAGCGATGGGTACGTCATGAGTGGTGGGTACGTCATGAGTGGTGGGTACGTCATGAGCGATGGGTACGTCATGAGCGATGGGTACGTCATGAGTGGTGGGTACGTCATGAGCGGTGGGTACGTCATGAGTGGTGGGTACGTCATGAGCGGTGGGTACGTCATGAGCGGTGGGTACGTCATGAGCGGTGGGTACGTCATGAGCGGTGGGTACGTCATCAGTGGTGGGTACGTCATCAGCGGTGGGTACGTCATGAGCGGTGGGTACGTTATGAGCGGTGGGTACGTTATGAGCGGTGGGTACGTCATGAGTGGTGGGTACGTCATGAGCGGTGGGTACGTCATGAGCGGTGGGTACGTCATCAGTGGTGGGTACGTCATGAGCGGTGGGTACGTCATGAGCGGTGGGTACGTTATGAGCGGTGGGTACGTTATGAGCGGTGGGTACGTTATGAGCGGTGGGTACGTCATGAGCGGTGGGTACGTTATGAGCGGTGGGTACGTCATGAGCGGTGGGTACGTTATGAGCGGTGGGTACGTTATGAGCGGTGGGTACGTCATGAGCGGTGGGTACGTTATGAGCGGTGGGTACGTCATCAGCGGTGGGTACGTCATGAGCGGTGGGTACGTTATGAGCGGTGGGTACGTCATGAGCGGTGGGTACGTCATGAGCGGTGGGTACGTCATGAGCGGTGGGTACGTCATGAGCGGTGGGTACATCATCAGTGGTGGGTACGTCATGAGCGGTGGGTACGTCATGAGCGGTGGGTACGTCATCAGTGGTGGGTACGTCATCAGCGGTGGGTACGTTATGAGCGGTGGGTACGTCATCAGCGGTGGGTACGTCATGAGCGGTGGGTACGTCATGAGCGGTGGGTACGTCATGAGCGGTGGGTACGTCATGAGCGGTGGGTACATCATCAGTGGTGGGTACGTTATGAGCGGTGGGTACGTCATCAGCGGTGGGTACGTCATGAGTGGTGGGTACGTTATGAGCGATGGGTACGTACCTGAAGGACCCAATTTCGCCTGCGACTCGACCCTCTGCTGGGCCCCCTTAATCAGCGCCACACGGACCTCCTCGTCCGCAAGCCCCATCTGCACCGACGGCACGCCACAAGGAAACAATCCGCCTCCTCTCTCTCTCTGTGTGTGAAGCGGCGATCCATATGGCGGATTTCATCGCTCCGTCTCTTTGGCGGACGAACATCACGAGCACGTTTGCCCCGTCCGCTGCACTCCACCGTTGGGGTATTATTTATTTGATTAGATTAGATTGCAACAAAATTCGAGCCCGATAGAGCGCACCGCGAGGCTCACGTGACCGGGCAATCGCAATTCACGGAATACGGTTCCCGACGCTACTGGACCCATGCGAAGGAGGGTGGGGGGGGGGGTAAAAGATGGGGAAAGGCCTCCCCCCCCCACCCCCCCCGCTGCCCAAGCGAGGGACACCAAGTCGGGGGAGAAGATGAAAGGTTAAATGGGAAGGGGGATAACAGGGGAGGGGGGATATAACCGAACTGATGAGGAAACCCGAGGGTAGATGGGGGAGGAGGGAAGAAGGGGGGGGAGAGGAGGGGGAGGAAACAAATAAAAACCCTAAAACCAAATAACAAACAAGCAGCTCGTGACCATCCACCACTCCAAGTCTCGCTCCACGCTTGGCTACGGAGGGGCTATTCCCCCTTTTTTCCAGTCCCTGTTCCATCATGGGGTCCTCACCACTGACTACTCTGTGCCCTTCAAGTAACGAGAGTCCTGTACAAGCCCATGATTCGTTCACAAACATCGCACGTCTCTTTCTACGTCTCATGATTGTCGTGCACATAAATTGACGAGATGTAAATTGTGACCACCCTGAACATTAACCATCTCAGAGATCCTGACGACAAGTCATTACAACACCAAATGTGAATTAACCGCAGGAGACGTTAGAAAAACTTAATGAATAAACCTGCAACTTTGGGGTGTAGATAATTACAGTAATATCCCGGGTTACGTCGGGGGATGCGTTCTTGAAAGGTGCGACGACGAATATCGAATCGACGTCAATCAAAGCGATTGACAGGACAGCGGGTGGAGGCGGTGGATAACGAGAGGACGGACGGTGCTGTCAGCGACGTAAGTAGGGGGATGAGGCGACACAAATCACTTCACAATTGGGACATATCTGTGGGAGGGAAGCAACTGTAAAAACGAGTGACGGACTGCGGTCCGAGTGATGGGAGTAAAGAGGTGGACGAGGGCAGGAGCAGCGCTACACGACGGCAGACAAAGCTCGAACGAGCACGCCAAGGGGGGCGTACCGCAATCAGATCCTCGTGCATCATCGCCGCCAGGGCGGCCAAGGAAACGCGATGGCGAGCGAACAGGGGTATCAGGCCTGGGGACCCAGTCTCGGTGAGGAGCTCCTGCAGCCCGACGTCCAGTAACGACTCCTGCAAGAAGCAAACACACCGGGTCTCTCCCGCGCCTTTGGGACCGGGTGACTGGAGGTGGCTTGAGGCCCAAGCCTTCTTAGTCACGGCTTAGCCCGGACTCGGCTCTGGCTCAAGCGAGCTGTAGCTTGAGCCGGCTCTGGGTCACAGGGTCGCAGCTCAGCTCAGAATTTCTCAGGAGCTGAGCCCGAGTCGAGCCACGGCCGAGCCGTTCACTCACGCGACTCTGACAGCAGCTGAGCGGCTCAAGGGCCGAGTTGAGCCATGTTAGAGGCAGAGTGACTCATAATGGCCATGTCAACGCCACGAAGTACCCACATCGGAGTCGAGCTTGCAGCTGCGAGGTTTTCAAGTGTAGCAAGTTGCTAGAGAGTCATAGTTTCAGCTTCGCAGTTGGCGTTACATATCCCATGACGTCATTCACAAAAGCAGGCCATTGTGTGCCAACGTCAACTCCCAAATTGGCCAAGTTCAAAAGTTACACCGCAAACACCTCGATTGGCAGATCAGTGCCTGAGATCACCCTTGAAAGTGAGACTGTCCTGGTGTCTCGAGTTCACACCTGATTTAACAAAATAAACTTGAAACTTCAATTCTAGATTTGAAGCTTTCGTGACTGCAAGGATTAATACTCTTTGTTTTTTTCGGTAAAGTCACGTAGGTTAAAAAAGAAATGTATTTGTTTTCTTTTTTAACCTACGTGACTTTACCGAAAAAAACAAAGAGTTTGAAACTTCAACTTGAAACTCAGCCTTGTCACCAATGATTGCACCGAAAAAATCCATCATTATTTTGCATTTAAGATCATCACTACTGACTTTACACAGATGTACAGTCATTTTGTCTATGAACCAAAAACAATATCTGCCCACCAATGGGTCGTCTGGTTGAATGTATCACAACCAGAATTTGCTTATTAAGCAAGGCAGACATCAGATCAATTTCAACGCCATCGAGTCTCGTCGTACCGCATGTGCTGCTGCGCGCCTATGCTCCAGTGGCTGATATAGCAAAGGGCAAGTCGATCATGAAGATTCGTGTAATCCTCTGGGCTGGCCAGGAGAGGTGGCAGAACAGCAAATAGGTTTGTGATCTCTGCTGTAGACCTTTAAGAGTTACCTGCTTGAATGAGTTACGTTTTCTCCGTGTTCTCTATTTAATTCTGACACAAAAAACACTCCATAAGATCAAGTTGGCCTCATATTTCAATAGAGGACACTCCAGAACAAGAGCGGTGAGAACAAGGAAGGCTTTCCTGTATAAAGTATTATTACTGTCATTATTGCCCACAAAATTTACTTATGCAATTACCAACATTTCTACATTTTATTAATCAACCAATGGACTTTTTCAATTCTATATTTAATATATCTATTCTATTAGTTGTAATGGGATGTCCTATCACAACTGTTGGGATCAATATAATGACATAGATATATTACCGTAGAGATAACACTGGTCAACAAAAAAAACATTTTTTTCTGGCCTGGACTTTTGCAGCTGTTTTAGACTAATTTCAGGGTCCCGATTCCAAATCTGATCTCAGATTTGCTCTTTCACATCTCATTTTTATGCTATTGGCATACCCCATTTTCATTGATTTTACCCGAAATTAACTGCCATTTATGATTGCAAGTTGATGTGAGTCAGTGACTGCTTTAGTGTTAAAATATGGTGCTGTATTTTTAGGATGGTGTGTTTATAATATCATTTTATGTAGCCTATCCACATTTATTTAATATTTTTATTCTGCAGTTTTTATTGAAATTGCAATATTTGATATCTCAAACCCGATGTGATAGACAAAAACTAATGCCAGATTTGGAATCAGCACCCCAAAATTACCTTAAAACCGTTGGAATACCTTATGCCAGAAAAAGTGTGTTGACCAGTGTAATAGATGTAATGTCGGCATACGTGCCACTGTGTGTTTGCTATGTAGGTGTCACGTGACACATTGGACACTCTCACAAACGAGATGCTGCATCTCCAGGGGTTATCAAAATTAGGCGAGAGGTTTTAAAACACAGGCGTCCCTCGCATAACGCGTGACGTGCGTTCAAGAAAAACAGCTCGCAAGTCGAATAGCGCTGCGTGAAGCCGATCTTCCCATAGGCAAACACGTCGTACACGGAGGTGGCGTTACTGAACAAAAAAGTGAGTATCATTTAATTTAATAAGTTTCGTCCTGGATTTACAAAAGACCTATGCAGCAGAACCCCTCTTAACGACGGTGCTTGGTTGCACGACACCGGTCGTGAAGCGAGCCCAGGAAACAGACTTGGTCAGACCACTTTGGAGTTCGCTGATTGGCCGAAATTGTCTGTCGCGTGCTCGTCGCTAACAGAGGAATGGTTGGTACGCTTGTCGTTAACAGAAGTGGTCGTTAAGAGGGGTTCTACTGTAAATGTTATACTTAATAATATGATTAACATTACAAGCAATACTTAACATGGAGTTTAATAACAATACTAATTAAGATGAAAACATTACTTCATAAGGAGTAACTTCAGGGCTTCCTGAACGCTTTTGTGGGCTGCTTGCAGTAGCAGCAGCGCGCATAATGCAGAGGCGGCGGATCCAGGATAGCTGTGACACTGGGCGGTGCCATGACGCGGTGATACCATGAAGAAGTATTTTCTTGTTTACGTTTAAATGTTATCATTGAAAATTATACATCAAATCTTTAAGATAAATGTAACAATTTTTTTGTTTAAAAAAAAATAATTGAGCGCGTAAATGTGGAACGCATCGCACAAGTGTGAGGTATGTCCCTAAAACAGAATCGGGTAACTGCGAACACGCGGTACGGTCGCATTACGCGAGTGACGCCTGTATTTAACAAACAAAAAAATCTTCTTGTTTCTTTCGGTAAAGTCACGTAGAAGGGAAGTAATAAAATAATAAAAATAAAACATAATAAAACAATTCTCACGACGTTTCGGCTACAACGCAAGCAGCCGTCTTCAGGTGAAGAATGAGACACTACCAAACTAGGAGCTTATATATAAGCTGCATTGGGGGTTGAAGAGCGCCTTAACAAAAAGAATGTGCATGTGAAGAGGGATTTAGCATATTCATGGAAAATGCGTAGGCGTTGGGCGGGGGGGTGTCAAAGTCATATTATGCCCATGCATTATGCAGGATCAGCAGCAACCAAGGGGGGTGCAGGGATTAGCAGTAACAAAGGAAAGGAATGTTAATGATATGTAGCTGCAGTTACTCAACAACCACGTAGAAAACTAAAGTATAAACTACATAAAAAACTAAAGTATAAACTGCATCGCACCATCAGTATACTTACTATACTCTATAATAAGCTGAGTTACTAACAGCAAGTAATACATTACAATTTTACCTCGTAAAAATTCTATAATATGCTTCCATCTAAACCTTATTCTCTTACATCACACGAGCATATACCGTACTATATACTGCCATAGATAAACCCAACATTAAATTATATACTGTATTGCTGTAAACCAACCTATATCTTATACATTTAATATCACACTATGTATTATTCTACACACCCTAATGTGTATCGAAATGGTTTATTACGTCCTTCCAATGATTGCTGAGCCAGAATCCATCTTCTCGGTTAAAGTTGTCTCTGTGTTTGTATATGTGGATCGCCTCATGAACGAATCTCTCATGATAGCCAGATGGCTTGCAGAGAACCTCTGTCTTGGAGAAGTCAATATCATGTGAGCCCACTGAGTTGTAACAGTGATCTGCCACGGCTGAGGTGTTAGTCCTACCGTGTTTCAGGTCAGCTTTATGTTCACGGATGCGGTCCGAGACATGTCGTTTGGTTTCCCCAATGTAACTGCTACCACAGAGGCAACTTAGTTTGTAGACGCCAGGGTACTGTATGTCTGGAACCACATCTTTTACAGACGGTACCAGATCACGGATTTTATGTACTGTGTTGAATCGGACCTGGATCTTGTGTTTAATCAGGATTTTGGAGATCTTTTTTGTGACCCCAGCAATGTAGGGTAAGGTGATGGTCTTGAAAGGCTCCTCAACAGGATCCTTCTTGATGGTTGGAGTGATGGCTTTGCGGATTGTATAGTCGGAGTAACCATTTGCCTTAAGAGCTTGGCGTACGTGTTTGAGTTCACTGGAAATGTGTTCATGGTCGGAGATGCATTGGGCTCTATGATATAGAGTCTTGATGAGGGAATTCTTCTGAGATGCGTTTATTAAAGGCAATCGCTGGAACACCCGTGATGTTGCCAAGTGTCACTGGCAGGATGGCGGCCACCTAAAGCATTGCCGCTGGCGTTAACAACGGTGCGCTGTGTGTCGCAAACCTGCAACCGCAAAGGCTGGGGCTTGGACTGCATCAGGCGCTGGTACTGCACGAGCCAGTAGTCCATCGAGTCCTCCTCGCGCTTCTTCTCCATCTCCTCCTGCACGGGGCCATCACAACAACAACAACGACGTCAACAACGACGACAGCAACGCAGGTGGAACAAGAGTTGGGCCGGCCGAGTGGATCGAGGGGCACGTGTGCTCGGTGGATTGTTACATCACAGGATTTGGAGATGGCGACACCTTTTTGAGGCCTTCATCCAGCAGTGCATTCATCATCATAATTATTATTCCTATGCTCGCTTCGCCCGGAAGGCCTCACCGACTCTCAAGACTCATTTTTAGGAGGGTCATGCCATGTTTTCACAGTCAAGGGTAATGTTGCTATATGCAATGCCAATCGAGTAATTTTCAGGTACATTTTCAGCACTCAGATGTTTGGCCAATGCCACTTACATCTCATGTTTTTTTTGTTTTTTATGGGAGGAAACCGGATAGCCCGGAGGAAACCCACGCAGAACAAGGGGGAAGAACATACAAACTCCATGCAGAAAGGCGCCCGGGTCGGGAATCGAATCCGGGCCCTTTTTTCTGCAATGCAGGAGCGATGCCACTGGGATCATCATTGTCGTCATCGCGGCCGACGATGACGATGATCATGGCGCAGAGGTCGCAATCGGGTACCCGATAACCGTACCCGATACCCGGCTACCCGTACCCGGCCGGGTATCGGGTAGGGTATCCGTTTGCAACCCTGGTGCGGCCAGGTAGGGTAAGGAATCAAAACCCGTTTGCGACCTCTGTCGTGGCGACGCTAACGAAGAAGAGCGTTGCACTCCGCGCTCGGCGGCTGGGATGAGGATGGCGCTGTGCTCTTCGGCTCTGAGATCGATGGGGAAAAGAAGAAAAAAGAGGGGGGCAGAGTTCACACTCACGAGCAGATCCTGCAGCTGTAGCTCCCGTGCTCCCTTCTCCTTGAGCAGCTGGTGCAGGAGGTCCCCCAGCGCCTGCCGCTCCTCCACCAGCACCCCCTGCCACGACGCACGCCGAGAGGGGCCATCCGGTCAGCAGTGGCGAGATGCGTCGCAAACCAATGACGGTGCATCTTAGGGGCCGTATTCTTCGTCACGGCTCAGCTCTGGCTTGGCTCTTCCTCGAGTCGCTGGGTTGCTTCGAAAGACGCACGAGCGGCTCAGCAGTGGCTCGGCTCAGGCTCAGCTCGTGGAAATCCTGAGCGTGGCCGAGACCACGCTCAGAGCCGTGGCTCGCTTGAGCAGTGGCTCACTTGTCGCTGAGCAGCGCTCACCTGCATCTGCTCCTGGTCCTGACCCTTCCTCTTCATCTCCAGCATAGAGATGTGAAGCAACTCCTGCTCGATGAGACCGATCTGAAATGAGACACAGCGAGGCTGAGGGGCGCATCAGTTACCCGTGACCACAAGAGCCACGGCTCAATAAATCAGAATAACAATATTTATTTACACTGGAGAAATCCGATGAGCTGTAAAGCTCTTTTTCACAGATGGCCAGTAGGGGCTGGTAAGAACGTTACAACAGTAAAATAAAAAAAACACAACAGTAGTGCAAAGTCCAAGAAAGGTTAACAAATCAGCCAAACACATTCAAATAAAACTGAACCATTCCCATTCTACCAAGCAAAGCCCACTGAGGTATTCACTTAGTTCTCAGAAGCGATCTGGCCACAAACGATAGCCGAGACGCAGAGCCGCCGCCGCCGCAGCCGAAACTCCCGGCTCGAATTTTGGAGTCAGCAGCGCGCGATAAAATCAACTCGCAAGGTTTCAGCGAGTTTAACGATTGCCGCCCGGTCGCAGTGAAAACATTTGTTATTAATTTAATTATCCATATTCCAGACGAGGGTTAAGTATTTTGCTTCGATTGACGCGTGTCACAAGCTCTTCAGAGTGCAAGAAAGGGCGCCGTCTATTGCTCGAGTGAGGCGGTGACCCGAGGAGTGGCTGTACCACCGCATCTTGGCAACGCCAGATAATTTCCAGTCAAAGCAAAAGAAGGTCACTCTCCACCTGCACGGGAATTCTGAGCGTAAATCTTATCCGCAAGAGATGTGGTTCTCACCAGGCGAATGCTACAGGACGCTACGCTGTCACGGTAAAACCTTCATAGGTTCAAGTTCTGACTGTACTGAGACATCACCAGAGTTTAGCCCCATTAAAGCAATACCATTGGATGTCCCGATGTTCCGCGCAAAAAGCAGACACCAACCGCTTTGCCATTAACAAGCTATTTGGTGATATTGCGTCGGAAGTGGTACATAAGCACGAATAAACAAACACTCGCATTCGTCAAAATAACCGTGGCCTTCAAAGGAAATGAATAAATAACTATCTTTAAACGGCCCATCGTCATCGCACATGAAGGAGGGTCGTTGCCCCGCAACATGCGCTACGAAGTGCAACTGTTATTTAAGGCCGTGGTGTTGATGACCAATGCTTTGATGTCTTTGTTTGTCATGAACAGATAAAACAAAACGGGACGGGTCTGGGAGGTGCCGTACGACACTGCGATGGCGCCGCCGGACCTGATTCCGTATCCTGGAGTGCCAAGCATCTCGTTGTAGCTGGAGCATTTCAAACGCCTCCTTTTGTATTAATTCCTGCAAAGACACAAGAGCGGAAGGCTTTCGTCGAGTTTCCGGTTACAACGCTTGGCTCGCTGATGTGAGGTCGCGCATTACAAGTTCCAACTCGACCAATCATCCCTTCAGGGGTCGAGACGCGTGGTGCCACATTGTGTGACGTAACTATTTGGAATTTCTACCAATGGCTCAGGGCCGCCAATTCGAATGTGTTGGTTGGCTAATGTCCCTTTGTGTAAAAAATCATGCTGATAGAATGGGGCAAATCAACAACCTTTCAATGTATTTCGGCACGATGCTAATCTGGTCACGTGACACTTTTAAGTTACGTATGTCTATATCGCAGTGTAAATGATAGCGGTGATGCGGTATTTCCAGTTAGCCCTTTATAAATACATCAAATCCAGCAATGCTTGGACGAAAATGAATTTGACAAAAATAGCAAAGCCGGATGAGTTCAAGTAATTTGTTATGACCAGTCAACTCGTACACACACATTGCGCAGAGTTAAAAATTAACAAACACGTTTTGGTAACATGCCAGAATTTCTAACCAGATTCAGATGCCACTCGCCACTGCTGACGATGTGCATCAAGGCCAGGAATTGCACCCCAGCGTTCATAGCACGGTGGGTGAACAACCACCCCGACACAACACACGGGGGGGGGGGGGGTTTCAGCAGTACCTCCTGCAGAATGCTGGCGATCGCCTGCTTCTGCCTGTCATGCCTTCCACTGACCACGCACTGCAACTTCTCTTCTTGCTCTGTCAAACTGAAGGAGACGGGGATGCGTCTTGAAACCTACGCACACTACAAAACTCACCACGCACCGTTGCCATACACTACTTGCCCGGACACCGCACGCGGTTCTGTGCCAGATATTAGAGGGTAATCGCAATACCACTGGGTCATAATGTCGCATCAGAGAAGGGACGCGGAAGTCGACGTGCAAAAATTACCTTTGAGATAAATTAATTAGGTCTCTTATTTCAAATCGTCAGGTTCATAGCGTAACGTGCTAACCCTTTCGCTATGAACCCGGCGAACTGAATTACATTTCCAGGCATCGGTCCCGGGCATCCCCTTTCCCATCCCACGTTAAGCAGCAAGGAGCAGTGTGCGGTCACACCCACAATCATTTTGCTGCTATAAATTTCCAACATGATAAGTCACTTTGTTGAATCATAATTTGTGGCCAGGTCGCTTTTGAAAAATAAGTTAATACCTCTGTAGTGACATCGCGGATGTCACTGTGTAATGCCGGCCCTAGAGAGGCACGGCTTACGCTGTAACATCGCGGGCACCACTCACGCGGGTGCAGTACCGGCCCTGGAGGGGCTCGGTGAGCGCTGACTGACAGCGCTGGATAGCACCACGCTCTGCGTGCAGTGCCGACCTCTACAGGATAGGGTGTGAGAATGCCGGCCATGGGAATGGGGTTACTAAGGGCCATGGCACTCTGGTTGACCCCAAAGGACACGTGACCGGTAAAGTCTACACAGGGCCGCCAGGTGGGGGCTAGGGGTGGTCACGTGTCAGGGCCGAGATCCTGCTCGGTGATTCTGGAAGGTGGTCGTGGCCGAGGGCGGAGCCAGCCACACCGCAGAGGATATAAGCCGGGTCCCTGAGAGGGACCGGCTGCTGTTGTTCATCCTGAAGAAACTACGTTCTACGTCCTGCAGAGTCTCCAACACGTGGACCTGGACCCAAGCTGTGGTCCGGTCCATTGTAGCGAGTTACCGTGTAATGAGTGCAGTTAGCCTGGTGGTCACCACCATAGGTTGTTATAGTGTCAAGGGGCAGTTATCCCGTGTGTTGGTGTTAATGTGTTGCCTCCAAAGAGTACGTCTGCGACTCAGTTGAATCCACTACACCTCAGTGGCCTCTTTTAACTGGTAAGATAAACATATATTTAGTTTTATTTGTATATTTTAAGTGAATTGTTTGCCTTCCCTAAACTTTGTACTCCGATCGTGGTTTTGTATTGTTTGTTGTAATGTTCTGACCTGCCCCTACTGGACATCTGTGAAAAAGAGCTTTATAGCTCATCAGATTCCTCCAGGATAAATAATCAGATTCTGACTGAAAGCCGTGGGAAGGTCTTCAACCAGCAGTGGGTTTGTAAAGGGCCGCTCTTATTTATTCACAACCCTTACACACCCTCCATTAAGCAATCCTACTATAACAATTGGGTTTCTAATAAAAGTAATTGCATTAACTGCCACTGATGTGGGAATTTAACATCTGTGAGGCTACGTGGTGGACAGCAAAGGGCAGCGCATGCTAAATTCATGGAAGCAACTTTTATTCTCCCACACCCATGCTCCCCACCTTCACTAAACAACACTGACCGGCGTGGCGAAGAACGGTCAAATAGCTCCCCATCGACCCACACCAGCAATGGGGGGGGGGAGGTGGAATGACAAATGGTACGGCGCACATTCACCCACCGATTGCCTTCGCGCCGAACCAAGTTGACGTAAAAAAACAAAAAGCTCAGCAAAATGAGCCGGGTTCAAAAATCCTGGGCACGGGCAAAGAGGGAGGCAAAACCAGGCAGGGCGGTCTCGTGAGTGCAGGCGGGCAGGGACCCCCACCTGCTGGCGGCCTGGTCACACAGCTCGTCCCTCTGCCGCTGGTACTCCTGCCTCAGCAGCTCGTTGGACTTGGCCTCCATCAGCATCTGCTGCATGGCGGCTGTGGGCACACGAGGCACCTGTGTGTGTGTGTGTCCACGAGCCTCGAGGCTCAGGGGAATGAAACGATGTTAATTGTGGGTGAGGGGTTGGGGGTTTGTAGTTATCGTCTGGGGGGGGGGGCAAGGGGTTCGCTTTGTCCCTCGCATTAGGAATCGTGGGTGCATATTGAATTTATTTATTTTTGTATCTTAATTGTAAACTCTTGAAAATAAATCAATGGTGAGAATAGGTTTTCCCATTTTTCTGGCAACAAAACAGCTGTGTTAAGATGTTAAAACACCAAACTGAAACCTTTTACAAGGAATCATGTCTGCATTAACCACAATACTTGTGGTCAGAATGCAAACAAAAAACACTCCGATAATATATGCATTGTCTTTGAAACTGATTGGTCCACACCAGAGACAGCTTTCTTTTGAGTCGAGCCTCAAACGGTGTTAGACCAGAGAACGCCAAAAGGCGTACACAGCACAAACACAATGCACTATCAGAGTAATGAGAGCTCGGGGTGAGCAGCGACATCATGATGAAGAAAGCTGTCTCTGGTGTGGACCAATCAGCTTCAAAGACCATGCATATATTATCAGAGTATGTTTTTTGTTTGCATTCTGACCACAAGTATTGTGGTTAATGTAGACATGATTCCTTGTGAAAGATTTCAGTTTGATGTTTAAACATCTTAACACCTGTTTTGTTACATTTTGATTTAAAGCTTTCGTGACTGCAGGGATTCATCTTCTTGGTTCTTTCGGTAAAGTCACGTAGAAGGGAAGTAATAAAATAATAAAAATAAAACATAATAAAATTATTCTCACGACGTTTCGGCCACAACGCAAGCAGCCGTCCTCAGGTGAAAACCAGGTCTGTCGAGGCGACAGAGTCTGAATGAAACAGCACACGAGCTTGGAGCATATATATAAGCTGGGCGCCTTGACAACGGAATTTGCATATCAAGAGGAATTTAGCATATTTATGGAAATGTAGGAATGTGATTAGTACTACATATGCATGTGCATTATGCAGGATTAACAGCATCAAAGGGAGCTGCAGTTACTGCTGCTGCTGCAGTTGCTGCTGCTGCAGTTTCTGCTGCTGCTGCAGTTTCTGCTGCTGCTGCAGTTTCTGCTGCTGCTGCTGCTGCTGCAGTTGCTGCTGCTGCAGTTGCTGCTGCTGCAGTTGCTGCTGCTGCTGCTGCAGTTGCTGCCTTATCCATTTTAATATAACACTATGTATTATTCTACCCACCCTAATGTGTATCACACTGCTATATATTTACTATACAATTACGACACCATACATTACTCTGCACACTGCACCATGCCAGTGAGTGGAACGAGGTCTGAAAGTCACCGTAAACGTAAACACAATCAGTTAAGATCCGAAATGGTTTATTACGTCCTTCCAATGATTGCTAAGCCAGAATCCATCTTCTCGGTTGAAATTGTCTCTGTGTTTGTATATGTGGATCGCCTCATGAACGAATCTCTCATGATAGCCAGATGGCTTGCAGAAACCTCTGTCTTGGAGAAGTCAATGTCATGTGAGCCCACTGAATTGTTTTGTTGCCAGAAAAAAGGGGGAAAACCTATTCTCTTATTTTGGTACTGGCAGAGGAGGTCCCATAAATGAGCGGTGTCCACCGTTAGGGTGGGGCGTCGCCTCTCCCCCGCCCTCCCCACCGCCCCACAAACGCCGCCCATGCGGCGAGGCGATTGCCGGGGGACGGTGGGCATAGGGGTATTCACGATGCCTCCATAAGCCAAAGGAAGCTCGGAAACCGACAACTCCCAGTTCCCAGTTGGGACGAAAATAGAAAACACGACAAGACACTGGCGGGCGGCCACATGTGCGGCTCGTGACATAAAAAAAAAATATACAAAAATAAAAAGCACGCTAGTAGGGGCACAAGGTTAGAGTCGCAGTTCGGGGTACAGACTTCTTTGCGTGGCATTTTTAAGCAACCGAGCAAGTTTATAACAGTGTGCGGTGGGTATGTCATGCTTTTTGCTGTTTACAGAGACTCCCGTACAGACCCACACAGAGACCCACGATCTCCACGAACTTCGGAGTCGGTCACACAAGCCATGGGACCAACCCGGTCGGATGATGGCACCTCGTACCCCACCTACGCAAATGAGCCTTGGGGGGTGGTGTTCATCTCCCTATGGCGGTCGGGAGGCAAGTCTATTCGAATAACCACCGTTGACTTCCCTACAAAGTGGTACTCGATTTATCTACTCCAGAGTAACTACTGGCTGAATCCCATCCCCAACCGGAATTTGAACTCGGCACCTTCCTACTAAGAGCCGCCTTCGCTCTGCCGCCGAGGCATCCGGCCGGGTTTACTGCAAAGCATTGGGCTATCCAAGGTGTGGAGTCGTAACGGCCTCACCAGCCACGTCGTTCCTCCTCAGCGCCAATGTCTCCTCCTGTGTGATGCACACCAGAAGCTCCATTTCCAGCCTGCGCGCGCACACACACACACACGCACGCACACACACACACACACGCGCGCGGCCCAGCACAGCACCACAAGCAATCCACGTGCGGCCATGCAACAGAGGACGCAAAACCACAGGCCCAGTGCAAACGGGAGGCCAAACGATGACAACACCGGTTTGCTTTAGCCAAGCATCACACTTAAAAGGATCATTTGCCAACATGTGATTCGGGCAGAGGATCTAGTCACTTCTTAACCATCAGTGAAAATCTATCTGGCTCTCTTCCAATAACACTCGTGCCCACCCAAAGTGCTTGCCACAACTGACCCACAGTACCTCGCTGATCTCGTCAAGGAGCATAAACCATCACGCAAACTCCGGTCATCCTCGCAGCGGCTTTTGGCTGGCCATCGAACAAAGACGGTCACCGCATCGCACGCTTTCAGATGCGCTTCTGCGGCCGTCTGGAACGCTCTTCCTTCCGACATTGGCAAGTCACTGGAGCTAGGTACTTTTAAATATAGATTGAAAACCAATTTTTTTAAACTGCTTGTGGTGTTTAGTTTGCTGTCCTTTTCCCCGCACCTTCAATTAGCAAAGTTGGCTACGTACGGTGCGAAAGAAGCTCCATATACATCCGTACAGCATGCACGTGCAAGTGCACAAATCAAACGTCAGGGCACATTCACAGGTGGCCAATGATACAGAAGGAAAAAGCCACCTCTCTCTGTCCATGGCCTCCAGGAGATCTTTCTTTTGTTTGAACCTGCAAACAACGAGACAGAAACACTTACCTAACTATGTCACAACACCCACAAACGCAACGCCATAGGGCAGGACGCGACACTTCTTGATGGGTGGCTGAATCACATTACCATGCTCATTCTCCCCACTGTTAGCGACGGAAACAGGCATCCTTCCTCCAAACGACGGACGAAACAGAACAATGACCAGCACGACGATCGGGCCGTGTCTCTCTCATCTCAAGCGAGAGGCGTCACTCACGTCTACCAGCGCTCCTGAGCGAGTGGTGGCAATTTCCGCATGACTAAGGCGAGGGCTTAGATGCTTGTTCTGTGAAAGACCGGCTCTTTCCCGACGAATGACATTTTTTCAGCGATGGGGCTGCCTGTGTCACAAGACAAAGTAGCCATTCAGATCTCTCAGAGCAGCGCAAACCCTTCGTGTTAGGAAACGCTCATACGGGAGGATACCAAGCTTCCTCCGAGATCTTTTTCAAAAGTGAAGTCTCTAGTCGACACTGGAGGGGTGGCGCTTTCGTACTCGCGATGGAAAATTCCAGATAAACTCACCCCCAACCCCCCGTAGGGAATTCCTACCAATGGCTCAGAGCAGTGGCTTACATGAGTTTAAAACAAGAACGCAACGCACGAGGTACCTCACAGGGGGCCATCTCTCAGAGTCGACCGCGACAGCTCTCAATGGGCCGATGCCTCGTTACGAAAGTCAAACACCTGCCCATTTATCCCACGAGCGCACGCCCACACGCGTACCAGTCTCTCTTGCTGAGGATGTGCGACACCAGGTCGCCCGCCTTCTTCTCCATGCGCAGGAGCTCCTCCGTCATCCGCACGCGGGTGGCGTCCTGACGCCGTCGCTGCCCGTCCACTTCCCTTTCCAGCTCGGCCAGACCCTGCGCAAACAACCATAGCCCATAGCAGACTGTTGGGGCAAGTGCTGTTTAGCGAGCACGTATGAAGACTTGAACGGCACACGAGGGGGGTGGGTGGCCAGCACCACGCCCGGCCACCGTTGTCTGATTTTACACACCAGCACAAGGTATTCATTTGAGGCCGAGTCGACCCAGGGGAGGCTCAGGACCGGTTCAGACATTTGTCACCGGTGTTGGATGTTAACGGGAATCGAAGTGGGGTCGCCGGGTTCGCAGCGCAGTGCGCTAACCGCGACACTACCGCTCCCAACACACCAGAGCAGACTCGGCGGTAACAGTCGTGCCTCACGGCGAGAAGGACCTGGGTTGTATTCTTGGCTCGGGTGCCTGTGTGGAGTTTGTATGATCGCGCCCTGCTCTCCGTGGGCTTTCTCCGCGTCCTCTAGTTTCCTCCCATCGCTAACAACAAACAATTTAGTCCAATTGAGCCAAGAAGCGCTTTTGTAAATGGCGATTGGTGTTGGTCACACATCCCAAAGCAGGACACCCTCCTGTAACAGGAACTTCAAACTCAGCGTAACTTTATTGGGGAAATAATTACGGTCATACGATTCATGTCTCCCCCTTACATGTCGTTTAAAAAATACGTTGCCATTTTATTATTAACACCGCTGGCCGAGTTGCGTCGACCTCAACCTACGGTCTTATGCCGCCATCCTTTCTAGTATCCGTCACCTCTCAGCCTTCGCATCCACCTTTCCTGTACATGAACCACTTTGTATAGCGCATAAAGAAATGTAGCGTACTGTAGGGAACAATATATTATTTATGTAGTGTTTGGCGATTGTTTATTTTAGTGTACTGTATCTTATTGTACCCTGCATAATTTGTGTTCAAGTTTACTGCTGTTACACTAGTGTTGAGTGCAGCATTTTTAATCACTTAATGTAACGTTGTGGGTACGTCTACAGCTTCACCGTACCCTCCGTTGCGTTTAGCTCACGTGGCGTGCAGACAACGATCGCATTTATTGAAGTCGTTTCGATATTCGTCGCAACTTTCCGGAACGCAACCCCCGATGTAAACCGAGGCATTGCTGCATTATAATTATTTTCGTATTTTGACGTGACGTCAGTGGCACAGGTGGGAATATAAAAAAAAAAATTCCCCGTTACATTTCAACGTAGCTGCGCCTAACCGTGTCGCGCCGAGTGGTGTATTGTGACGACCGCGCAATGGGTGCGTGGGCAGAGCGAGAGAAGGAATTCGCGTCCGTGACGATGCCGCGAGGGTAGCAACTCGAGACCTCTTTGACCGAGTGCAGCAGCTCATCCCTCTGCAGCGTCGCGTCGTTCACCAGCAGCGCCATGTCCATGTGCTGCTGGCCCAGCGCTCGCTCAAACTCCAGCTGCTCCTTCCGCCGCATCTCCTGGAACCGCGGCGCACGCGTTTCACACGGCGACACCAACCAACCGGTCGATCTTTCGTTTTTACGTGCCAACGTCGCCCTCAAATGAAGTAGCCATCGGCGCACATCGCACCAGAACGGGAACGGCACAGGGGGCACGGAGCAACGGGAATGAGAAGAGAAACCCGTCACGACCCTCAGCGGCTAACGCCGACCGAGCAAAGTAAATTTCAACCGCGCACAAAATAAAGTGCAACCGTGCGCAACGAATAGCATAGGAAAGGTAAGTAGTAAATGCAAATGAGATAAATGAAAGGTAAAAAACAGTTTTTAATTTTACGTGGAAGACAAGTCTGACTAGGTGTCTTGCAAAGACCACAGAATTGAGAGACACTTGGTAGAAAGGCCCCGGGGTGTTCCAGATTTTTGGAGCTGCTCCCTAAAGCCACGGCCTCAACAATCATGGGTGGTGACGTGGCCTGAAGCTCGCGATGAATCGGCTGTCGGATCGACTAGGAGCAGAATCGATACAATAGATGCCTCGATTTAACTTTCTTCCATATATGGGCTGATCTGCACAGGAACTTTCGTCCAGGACAAAAGAGCGTTATAACGAAACAGCGTTATAACGAAACAGCGTTACAACGAGACAGCGCTATAAGAGTGTTGTATATGTCGGGTTATGAGAGGCAGCGCTATAAGAGGCAGCGCTATAAGAGGCACGCCTGCACTAAGTTGGGATGACACAGAAATATCATCACGAATTCGATACTACTACAGACTATGTCTGTGGAATAAAGCGCCTCCCTTCGTGATAGCCTTGTTATCTAAGCATGACCCCACACTCCGCTGGCCTGCTATTTTGAACACAAGCTGCAATGCAAGCTTCTGCAGAAAGGAACGCAAACAGCATTATTAGAACCATGCAAGGCAGCGCCTTGCAAGTAACCACAGAGTCAGGTGTGACACGGCATTTCGCGAACACGTCATAATCGTGACCCAACTAACCTTTTTGTTTTCAAATTCCTTGAATTTGTCCTGAAAAACAAAAGTTGGGGGAAGTCGTTACCAGACCGTTCACCGTCACTGAACCTGTGCTCGCGCCAGAAGCATCCATTGCGAACACATCTCTCTGCTCAATTAGCAAGCTGCGTTAGAGCAACATCACGGCCACCTTGCACGCAGGTTTATAAATAGCTGGCACCGATAACGACAGTCTCCATCCACATCTGAACAAAGAAAAACATAAAACTATTCATGTTTACATTGCGGCGTCGTTCATGCAATTAAATCTAACAATCGCTGCGGAACCACGGTCAAGCGGGACGGGTGGCAGATGCGTGCTCCTTCGCTATTTATGCTAATACGTCTCTTCCTAGAAATTGCAAGGATCGACGCCCGGGCGAGACGACGCGCAGGTAGGGCACGCGCAGGGCCGCACGGCGGTGCGTGGCACGGGCAGAAAAGGCCACCGAGGAGCATAAAGCATCAGGCAAACTCCGGTGGGCATCCTCGCAACGGCGGCTTTTGGCTAACCATCGAACAAAGACGGTTCACCGCATCGCGTCAAATGAGCATCTGGAATGCTCTTCCGATATTAGGAAGCCACTGGAGCTATGGACTTGTCAAACATCTAGATTGAAAACTATTTTCTTTAGGGGTGTTGTCCTTCCCCCGGCACCTCCCGATTAGCAGGGTTGTCTACGCATGGTGCGAAAGAAGTTCAACATACACACATACCCACACCAACATCACCAAACCGCAACCATTACTACCACAGCCAACACTGCCACCACATACCAGATTGAAAACGAATTTCTTTAGAACTGCTTTTTTGTGTTTGGTTTGTTGTCCTTCCCCCGCACCTCCGATTAGCACAGTTTGCTACATACAGCGAGAAAGAATTTCAACATACGTATGACCCACCTGCCACGCGGCTTGCTGAAGGCTGTGCTGGAGCTCGGCGTTGTCCGTCACGTCGGGGCAGCGCTGGGGGCTCGCGGTGAGGACGGACAAGAGGTGCTGGGACGGCGGGGAGTACTCGAGGCCGGATTCTGCATCATGAGACCAGGTAAGGGCAGAACCGTCACCGCAAAACCAACGGCCACTGCCGATTGCATAACCACCACGCCTTCGCCATCGCCTTCTACCTTCAGTTGACACTTGACCTCCAAGGACAAGTCTTCGACCCTCATCGCCATCGTCTGGATTCAGATCTTGCTCTTGGTCGCCAATCTCTGCGTGCCATTTCAACGCCTGTCCCAGTAACCTGCCCCTCCGCCGTGCTGCACAGTATCCCACCCAACGGAACCTCTTTTCTCATGATTACTTCTACAGTGCTTTCCTAGCACGTTGTGTTGTAAACTTCTAAGTTGCAGACCCGATCCCGATGCATAATGCTCATCATATTCCACACAGCTATATACACAATGTGACGTTATCACAATTAAACTAATGCTTCTCTACGAATTCAAGTGATCCAGATGGTAATCTATTCGACTTGACTTCTCACCACACTTACAACCACAACCACATTGCCCTGATCCTCAGATCACACAACTGGCTCCCAATACAATCATTCCTTGCAGCAGCAGCTTTTGGCCGGCGATCGAACAAAGATGGTGTTACCACATCGCGCGATTTCAGATACGCTTCTGCGGGCGTCTGGAACGCTCTTACTTCCGATACGAGGAAGCCACTGCAGCTATGCACTTTTAAATCCAGATTAAAAACGAATTTGTTTATAAATGCTTGTTGTATTTAGTCGGTTGTCCTTCCCCGCACCTCCGATCAGCACGGTTGGCTATGTATAATGCGAAAGAAGTTCAACATACATACAGGGACTCCATAAATATGAGTGTGCTGTACTAGTGACGAATTGGCATGTTCTGTTTACGTGACAACCCTTACTAGTTGGCTGTGTCAGGTGGTGGCGGGTTTAACGACACGTTTATATATTTACGCGATCTAACCCAAAAAACCTCTGCTATGGATGATATTGGTCGTGAAAGCCGGCGTGTTATACAGAGACTCCTCTACTTATGAACAAGTTAAGTTCCAGAGGTCTGTCGATTTCAAACATGTTGTATGGCATGTACACTAAACATGACGAATGATTTTAAAAGTTGTATAATTTGCTGCGGATGCCACTGGTTCTTCACGTTCTACAGATGTAGATGCCACTGGTTCTTCACGTTCTACAGATGTAGATGCCACTGGTTCTTCACGTTCTACAGATGTAGATGCCACCTCCGCCGTCTATCGCGCGGTGGTTGAATTTACGACTTTCGGTCCAAACACGTAACTGGACATACGGAGAGGTTTGTTCGTATCTCCGAATGTTTGCAAGTCGAATGTTTGTAAGTAGGAGTCCCTGTACATAGAACCTTATGAACCCTATGATCCTACAGCGATAAAATGAGGCTTGGTGTTGCTGTGGCCAAAGTGCTCAACTTACAATCGGACCGCGAGGTGTCCAAAACCACATCGGGCGGGGGGGGGGGGGTGATTGAGTTCGCCGTGATCATCCCCTCTAACAAAGGTCAAGCGACCACCACGGTGCAAGCGGCCACGAGCGGGTGGCTGCTCTACGAGGTGTGCCGGTGCACTGTGGTGGCGACCGCTAGCGCCAGCGAGCCGACCTTCGCACAGGAAGCGCTTGACAGCCTCGGTGCCCTGCCGGACGACGTCCTGCGGCGGAAAGGAGATCCTCCCCACGTCCAACTGCAGCGTCTGGCGCAAACAACAGCAGGAGGAGGAATAAGCAGTGGACGCTACTGCAAGTGGCTCTGCTGCAACTGAAGCGCAACGAACGGTTCCTGCCCCTGCCTTCCCCTGCACGGTGCTATACAAGATTGTCACATTTCAGGGGGTCACAATTCAAGAATCGATTCTTTTTGCTCCTCAATTGGACTGCCTCGCAGGGTTTCGTAAACCTCCCTTGTTCATCTCGTTAGCCTAAAAGTATGACGATTGTAATATACAGGCGGTCCCCCACTTTTACGACGTTACAATGTGTTCCTGGAAACCCCATCATATATCGGAGGGTATTTTCCCATAGGCAGTAGAAACATTGAGAAACATTACTTGCGTACGTATTTTTCCTTTTATCAGCCATATCTAAAGGGGTTCAACAAATAAAAATCCACAAAAACACTTAAGCTCTACGCCAAGTCACATCGGAAACCAAACCGACACTGTTCAAATGCGTTCGGAGTCGTGCCGGAAGACGCATCATAAATCAAGTTTTATATTTCTGCATTGATCCATAGTGAAGTGATATAAACGTTGTAAACGTGGATCGCCCTAAAATCGGATCGTCGTAAATCGAAGACCGCCTGTACAAATAATTCGCAGTCCATGTGGAGCATCTACTGCTAGATGAAGGCCTCCTCATGCTGGATGCTCTTTAGATCAAACTGACAAAAGTTAACATTTTCATAAGTGTTACATGCATTGTAAATAATCGTTCTTTACACTCACGATTGTACGCAGCTATGGTGAGCGGAAAAGTTTGTTTAAATGAATGAATAATTCTAAGACTACCAATCCACATTGTGAAATTTAACACGTAAACTTTCGCGACCAATATTATGCATAACTAGCTTGTTTGCCCGTCCTAGGACGGAAGCTGTAATATTTACGAAAAAATTGAGCAGAGGATAATTGTATGTCGTGTAAATTTAATGTCAGTGAATCCTGCACGAAAGTATGTCAAACACTTCACTGCAGTTCAATGTAGCGCTGTATTAATGGCAGTGAATCTGGCACAAAACGAAGTCATAAAACACCTCACTTCATGTCACTGTAGCACTTTATATAGCTGACCTTCAATTTGTTCAAATTTACTGCTCTGATACTTTATTCTCTTCTGCTTTCGGTTTGTTGCGGTTGAACCCAAATCAAGAGCCGAATGGCTCACAGGGTAAACCCTAATAAATAAATAACTGAAATGAAACTGCTGGGGTTGAAATAAATTGGAATTCGATACAATATCTGGAAAATCACTGAGAAATGTCTATTTTACCATAATGCAGAAGCATAAATTAGACTTATCTTTAGTGTCAAGTGCTGAAGAAATACAGACACCAAATCCACTTTGTTGCTGCGTAGAATTATTTATTAGATTCACTTTCAATAAAGAAATGTCAAACTTAAAGCGAATTTGCAAAAAATATATTTCCACTCGACCTTCTTCTGCGTGAGTGTAAAAATCCACCAACTCATGAATATTAATGATGGGGGAGGGGGGGGTGCGGCATGTGGAGTGACGTCACGCGCATTACACACAAACAGACATTCTGGGCTCATCATAGCAACAATAACGTTTTTTTTAGTTAGATCGCATAAATATGTGTTAACCCACCACCACCCGACACACCCAATGAGTAAAGTTTGTCACGTAAATGCAACGTGTTCAAATTAGTTACTACTTCAGCACACCGGTGCTTTGGTGACTAAACCCACAACAACGTTTGCTATTTGAGTACCGTGCCGTTTCGCTGGTAATCACAACCAACTTCATCGGGCGATTGTTGCAAGAAATCAGTGGCTGTGTCAGATGGTGGTTTGGCTAACGACACATTTATATTTTTCGCGATGGAACCCAGAAGAAAAACCCTTATTACGAACTACATTATGCACCGCAATGCGACGTGGCAACGGCTCACGCCTGAGAGTGATCTGAGGTGCTGAGATAAAAGCCTTGGGGCGACGACGACGACGTTCCAAGGCCTTCCATTCCAGGCCATGAACTTTCCGTGCCCCTCATACGAACAAGGCAGTGAGTCTGTATACATAAGTTACAATAGTCACCAATTATCTGTTATATTTTTTCTGTAACTTAATTGTAATTGTACGTTGATCAGCCTGAAAATATTCTGCACGAGCTGACTTGCACTACAGGGATTTTATTATGAAACATTGATTAATATTCTTTCAATATTTTCGATTTCTCACGAGATACGGAAAATTTTGTGCCGAATTCTATTTTCTTCATTGCTGTGGTGTATTCGTTTTGCTCTTGTCATGTGTGATCCAGGTCACACGTGACTAACCTGGCCTCTCTCTCGTGTGTTCTCACTTTGCTCAGCAACAATCCACTTGACACCTACCTCGAGCGTGCGAATATGAGCCAGGCTGAGCGGAAGTTTGGAGATCTGGTTGAGGCTGATGTCCAAGTTCCTCAAACTCTGCAAGCCGTCCAGATCCTTCGGCAATTCCGATATCTTGTTATCTTATCAGACAGCAGCAGCAGCAGCAGCAACAGCAACAGCAGCAGCAGCAGCATCGCCAACACAGCGATATTAGATACCGTCACTAGAAAGGGACGGCGCAAGGCGGGGCTGCCGTGGCGTTCCTCCGCACCTCGCGACGCCGCTGAACTATTTGAAATCCGAATGCACGACAGTGGCTGCCGAGAAGAGAGCAGCACGTCCGGCCTGGCAATCCGGGGACTGCCCTCTTCAGCGTTCATGCGCAAGGTCTGCGGTCACTCGTGTGCTGCTCATATCAGTCGACTGAATCGTACAAAGACACGCGGATCATGCTAAGAAGTTTCTCTCAGGCAGTCATCGTTCTTCCGATGCCGACTCTATGGCATCTTTTACCCGGCTGGGTGACGGCGTGGTTAGAGCGTTCAACTCACAAGCGGAAGTCCACGGCTTCCAAGGAGTCCTGAGGTGGCCATGTGGCTCGTGTCGGAGCACTAAGCAGGCAGGCACTGAGATTCTGCATTTGAATACAGGTTTCAGCCACCCGTGGTTAAACCAGGTTCTCAAATGTAGCCAGTTCATGGTCTCAACCTAACCATCAATGACTACAAAATAAAACCTATCATTGAACTTTGCTTTTGACTTAGTTTGGCTTATTCCAGCTCTGAGAATTAAGCAATTTTGTTCAATTGACATGTGATAAACACTTTTCTGGATATATAAATATAAGGTATGTTTCTCTTGTGATATACAGATGCAAGTGAAAGTGGGTTCATAAGCAATTACGTGATGTCATCTATGATACAGGGTGGTGCACCGCTAGCTCCAAAAAATCAAGTCTTTGTCTAATGGCGACGCCAACCGCTCAACTGGAATAAAACTGGGGGGAGGGGGGGGGGGCAAGAGATACAAAAATAAGTATAACCCGTAAAAACAAAGTTTTTCACTATAAATCCTTTATATGCGTGGCAGCGAACTTAATATAAAGGATTTAAAAATATATTCGCCTGTGGAGGACGCGGGGATCAATCCCGCGACCTTTGGCATGGGAAGCGAGGGCGTTACCAACTGCGCTACTCCACCACGGCCTGTGGAGGGGTTACGCTCTGGGCTCTTATACTGTGACGTTCAGCCAAAGCCATGAATGAGTTATATTTAAATATATGTAAAATAAAAAAAATTTGCCTAAAAAGTGTAAAATTTTGGGAATTTTTTTTCACGAACATTAATTGTCTGGCACAACGAGTCTGTGTGGAAAATGTCAGCTCGATTGGATCACGGGAAATGGGTTAAAAAACGACCGAAAGATTTGCACGGTCGTAAGCAAGCAAGCAAGCACGCAAGCAAGCAAGCATGCGAACTTAATATAAAGGATTAAAAAAGTGTGGGAGTTCAAATCTGGGTCAGAGGTCAACTCGGCCATCATGCTTCTTGGGTTGATAAATGAGTACCACTTTGTGCAAAGTAAACAATGTTAATCCATACCTGTCAACCCATACCGGTTTACCCGCATTCTTGTACAGCGAAATTGGGTTTTCAGGTCCATAGGGTGTACAGCCGTTTCAATATGGGAAAAAAGGTCTATTTGTTATTGTTTCTCCTATGTGATGGGAATTTGTAGGATGAACGTTGAGATTTATAAGAGCACGGGGTGACCAATAAGGTCTGAATTGGTCTGTAATAAGGTAGGCACCGATAAGGGGTTGAACGGTATGTTCATCCTACTCATTTATTTGTGACCCATGAATGTCTTAAACTTGGCGAAACTTTGACATCGTGGCAAACGGAATCCCAGGCGCGCAGGCAAGGCCCTCTTTGCTTACCCCGCACGTTGAGCGTCTGCAGCTGTCTCAACCGAACCACGGATTCGGGCAGCGCCATCAAATTGTTGCCCTCGACATTCAGCACCTGGGAAACGAGAAAAAAAAAGGACCGGCTACCGTTTCATCACCGGGTAGAGTTTACTGGAGCAGCGTCACGGCGTCACGGTAGCGCGTTTGTACGCTTGCTGCAGGAGGGGTCGCGGTTCAAACACCCGGCAAGCCCGCCCTGGTTATCGCGGCGATCGACCGTGGCCGTAAAATACACGCCGCTTCTCGGTGGAGGCGAACAATCCCATGACGCAATTAGAAAAAGAGCTTGCCACAGTGTGCCAGTGTCATGGTCCAAATTTGAAAGAAAAACCAAAACATTTGAAAATTACTCAGTTCGGAAACACCCCCTAGTGTGAAACTACTGCATCTCTGTGATAATAAGGGTGCGAATATAAAAATGTACTATCTTACTTTCTTATCTGAGCGACAAAGAGCACGGTGGCAGAGCCTCAACACTTACATTAAGAACCTAGGAGAGGGACTGTGTTGATTGATTGACTATGCACCACGGACGATGTTAGATGTTAGATGCCAGCAATCCAGTGCTCTTCAGGCAAGGGATGGTGGATCACATAGATGTGGGGAACTTACAAATTCTCTAGGCCTTGGCGTGACCAAAAGACGGCAGGTGATGTGGCCTTGTGCGAGTGGTGGCATTTCTCTGGGTACTCATGTTCAGGTTTATTTTCTTGAACCAGGTGAGAACTCAAGAGACAAGGATGAGCATCATCTGCAAGAAGTGACCTGGGCCATCAGTCTGCCAGTAGGGGGGCGATGATTGCGATGTATAATCCCAACTCAGTAAAAGGTTTCCTCTCATATACAAAACCCTTCTTTAAAAAAACAATAGGCCAAATATTCAGACTCAGAACCCTCTTGAAATAGTTTTAAGACTCAGCGAGGTTTTCCTGGATAAATGATTAAGACGACATATTTATACTCTTTGGTTCTTTTGGTAAAGTCACATAGTTAGAAATAAAATAAAACAAATCACTACGTTTCGATTGCAACACAAGCAATCATCATCAGGTGGGAAAACCACATCAAGAAAAAACTGCTGAAGTGGGAGAGAGCTGCCATTATTATTATAATATTAGAAGTTCAAGGCCTCAGGGAAGTTCTTAGCTCACATTTCCTCCACCGTATCCAACGTTGTGCTTGCCTCTTTACGTTGTCAAACAGCCTTCCATCCCTTCATTGCCAAGCAGCGCTTTTCTTTTCAAACTCGTGTATTTTTTTTCCCTTCCAAACCTCCTTCTCGAGCTTCCTCCGGCAAACTTTCACCTCTGACAATATGCGCTGCTCAGCTGTTTTGGTCCTCTGTGAGTGTAGCTCCAATTCGACTCTGTGAAATCCCCTCCAGAGCTTTCGGCATTATTCGCCCCGTCAATCTCATTCTCTCATTCGACACCACAGCCACATCGCAAAATGTCCAGCATTCTGATGTCGTCCCTTTCTCAATGGCCACATCTCAGCGCAATACAAAACCATCCTCCGCACTCAGGGTGTTTGTGCGTCTCTGTAATTCCCAACTCATCCGTCGTGTGAGCAGCTTTGCTCTCACCGAATGTAGGTTTTCTCAAGGCAGTGTTCATTCTAATATCCCTCGAGCATCTGCCGCCTTGTTTTACAAAAACACTTCCCAGATACGTGACCTGTCTCGCCCATTCTAGCTCAATGTGATATTTTTCCATGTTTCCAAAAATGTTTATAATTATAATCGATCAACTTTCTTTCTCTTAACACTGTCTATCAGCTCCTCATCTCTGCTAGCATCACGGTAGTTTCTACAGCCACTCTCTCATCGTCCCTCTTCCTTGTCGGTGATACTAAACCTAACTCATTCATTATTATCGGGATGCATGTGTAGAGGAGTAAAATGGGGACGTGACATCAGGTGTGCCTGTTCAGTGCGATGACGTCACGTCTCCTAGAGTACTTAAGGGAGACTCCGTGACGAAAGCGGGGTCACTGTTGGAACGGGTAGAGTACGAAGGGTGAAGAGGGAACCAGGGGTAGAGAGAGGGATCGAATAGTGAGTCTGGGGAGAAGCCGGTGGTAGCCGATAGAGGTGCTCTCTCTCCGGTCGGTGGAGTTGGCAGTCCCCGATCCGACACGAGAGACCGGAGCTAGCCGGGCAGGAACCAGGACTCAGTGTAGGACCCCTAGCCCCTGGGAGTTGTGTACCCTTGTGTGTTATTGTTCACCTTTAATAAACCTTGGCGAAAGCCCATAACTTACCTCCGTCTACGAGTGCGTCCGTGGGAACTCCCCAACACATGCATTAATCCTGCCTCCGACTTTAGGATGCAGTCTCTACACTTGACGAACTGCCCAAGACTCCAAGAGCCAAACTGAGGCAGCCTATTAGATTTTTTTAAGACTAAGCGGAAGAACCTCTCAAATTGGCCGGCAAGGCATCGTTAACCTTGGAGATGAGGTAATCTGCAGAGGACATCATTAACCTTGCACGGAACATGGTTCAGACGTTGGGCTGATTATTGCCACGCTGCCTCATTGACTTATAATGTTCACTTACCTGCAGAGCTGAGAGTTGCCACATCTCTTCAGGCAGAGCCTTGAGCTTGTTGGCATGCAGATCCAGCACCTGCACCACGAGGCTGTGTTAATATCCACGTGGATGAGATAACTGACCTCACACAGGAAAAGGGTGGCAGGAGGAGTCATGGATATGTCCAGGTCCCATTATGGAGAGCAGTAAGTCCCCTTCGTCAAAATGCATGTTTTTTTAAATGGTTTAAATAATTCATTATTGATTTGTTTAACACGTAGGCTTTCGGGACCAGTATTATCCATGTAGTGGGTCAGAAACCAGGGGAGACACCAGTTGAGGTAACACGATATTTATTAACACGCTACTTTCTACAGGGTCCCTAACACAAGGGGTAGCGGCCCCTTCACCCGATACCTGGGGAGGTATGGCCTCCGGACTACACGGGCCTAACACTGGGACCCCGCTAATTCCCCGTCCTCCGGCTAGGGGCCCTAGGGGAGGCCATGCTGACCGTGCCAGGGTCTTCGGGTCCTGACCACTGGCCTCACTCAGCTGCGGCCCTTAGAAGGACGGCGGAGCCTGGGGTCCAGGGTCCTATCCACAGCCCGGCCTTCAGTCTTCGGCTTGGAGGTGACGGACTCTATCGTTGCGAGGCCCGACTTGTATACAGGTCCGGGGCTTGCTTCCAGAACCTTCCACCAGGTCCTGGAAGGGTGACGTCATCCCCCCATCTCCCTTCCCGGGGTTTGGGGGATTGTGTCCCAGGATCCGTTATCCCAGAGATCACCGTTGGCCCCTTTGGCCATAGTCCTTTAACATTGGCGTCGTCACTCTTCCGCCCCCTGTTGACCCAATAGTGATGCTACCCGCTGACAACATGGGGAGTGCGGAATAACACCTTAACATACGTAAGAGATTTTTTTTTGGGTTAGTAAGGTTTGTCACGTAAACAAAAAATGGCAATTAGTTCCTAGTGGCTTTACTCTCCAACACACCGGTGTGCTGAACTAGTAACTAATTGGCGTGTGTAGAGCAAGCGTCACTTCAATAAAGTAAAAATAAAACAATTTGTAACGCGCACAAAACAGTTCAACCGTCGTTCGATCGCGAACTCGGTTCCTCGTGTGCCATCTTTAAACCAGTGCGGCGCCTTCAGCTGACCACTGAAGGTAGAGGGGAGGTTTGACTGCCTTTGTATGCACTGCGGGAGATTGTTCCATAATGCTGGGGTAGTCATAGAGGAATGCGCTCAGCCACAGCAGCTCAATGATAAAGTTTTGAACCCAACATGGAGGTTTCTCCCTGCTCTAACGAGCTTTGCTCCACTCAAATAACAGCGGTTACCCCATGGATAGATATCGCTTCCTGCCATGGGAAAGTGGAATTTTCTATGCTAGCACAGGGCCTTCAACAGACACGAGCACCACTCCACTGATTATTTAAACAGAGAGACACGCTGAGTGACTTGTGATTGTTATAGTGATTCTCAGTGCGTTGGTAACACCTCCAAGAGTCACCTTCAAGCCAGAGAAGTCCAAGATGTTTCCACCACTGGTGAGAGAGGTGAGACAGTTTGTGTGAAGGATCAGGACCTGGAAATAAAAACATGACACACCCAGGCTACAGGTATGTACACAATGCAACAGCACACAAAGACCCCCAGTGTAGCAGTATATATTTAAGGTCAAGTGCTCTTACAAGGCTGGCGCGGCACTCACGATCACAATCTGGCCAGCACCATGCCTGGCCGTCTTTGTCTCTCGAGTGTTGATATTTACACACTGCACAATATTCTCCTTGAAAGCCAAGTTAACCTAGGTGAGGCCAAGAATGGGGAATGGATTTGGATACCATTTGCCACGAACGATGTTTAAGTTTAAGTGCATGGCCAGAAAGAGAACCCAGGTCACCCAAATGACAGCACCTCCACTGCTCGTCATACGCGAGGGCATCTCAATAATTGAAGAGACAAAAGCTACTTTGCACTCAGCTGTGCTCCGGAAGGAACCTTGCAGTCCTATCGACTGCCTTGTTCAGTCTCGCCTCTGTTTGGGCCAGAATAAGCCGATCCTCCTAGTGGGTCGGAGTGCTTGGGAGGCATCTGTCCAACGGCAGCATGTGTAGGAGGCTGTGATACACCAGCCCAGGGGCTGGACTCAGGGTCCCTGGCGGTTCAGCACCAAGTGCTGTAATGGCCACCGCTGGGATTGGAAAATGCTCGTCACTCAAAGCTCTTGCATGACACTTAGTTATTTATTGAGAATGCTGCACATTCAGCAGACTCGCTGGTCTCACGATAAATACATAAACAGGCAATGCCCACACCATGCCCATCATCAGCCTGAGCTAGAGGAGCCTCACAGTCCTTGAGCACACGATCCCTCTTCTTGATTCAAACTCTCTCAGTGGCAGGGCGCCGCTGTTGCGAGATGTTAACTGCCTCGCCCGGTATACTGGAGAACGTGAGTTCGATCCCGACCCTGACGCCTTGATCTTTGGAGCTTGCATGTTCTCCCTGTGGTCATGTGGATTTTTCTCCAGGTCCTCCAGTTTTTCCCTCCACATTTAGAAACATAGATTTATAATTTTTGGCTGCTATAAATTTCCACGTAATAAGCCACTTCGTTGAGCTATCATTTGTGGCCAGATCTCTTCTGAAAGAGCTATATCGCTCAGTGGGCCTTATCTGGTAAAGTAAAAATTGTTAATAATTTCGTTTTTTTAAAGATTAAAATGGATTTTTGCTATCACAATAAAAGCATCAAATAATGCGTGTCAAATGTATTATTTTAAATTAATACATTGAAACTCATTTATTTAGAGCTGCTTTTTGTGTTCAGTTTGTTGTCCTTTCCCCACACTTCCAATTAGCACGGTTGTCTACGTACGGTGTGAAAGAAGTTCAACATACACGTGTTTGCATTTGTACTAGCAGGAACCCACCGATGGCGAATATGTACAGAGTCTGATGATTTCATAAACTGATGATTTCATACTAAAATATAGATTTTATATATGCTAAAAAGAAGTTACAATTATCGCACAATTGTATCTCAATAACAATACAATAACAAGAACAAACTATCCAATTCTTTGCAGCCAACACTGGGAAAGAGTGTGAGAGAAACAGACACATGAACACGACATGTACAGTAAGTACGATGAAACAAAAACTTCGGGAAACACACCGAGGCTGCAAGCTCTACCCACTGCGCCTGCAATTGAGCTGAATGGATGCACTACCTTTCTTTAAGAAAGAACATGACGTCATCACACCACTCCCCCCACCGTCTCTCAACGTCATCACACCCGTCCCCCACCTCACCACCCCAGGTCTCATGATGTCATTACCCCCTTTCCTCCACCTCACCCCAGAGGTCGCAAACGGGTTATGATTCCTTACCCGTACCCGGTCGCACCAAGGTCGCAAACGGGTACCCGTACCCTACCCGATACCCGGCTACCCGTATCCAGCCGGGTATCGGGTAGGGTACGGGTACCCGATTGCGACCTCTGGGATGAAGCCATGTTGCAGGCGCGGGTGGGTTGATTCTAGGAACTTGAATTGTGAGAAGAGACAAGACGTTGGGAAATGAGTGACAAACGGTTACTCACCAGTGACTCACGGCCTACCCGTACCCGTACCCGGCCGCACCAGGGTCGCAAACGGGTACCCGTACCTGTACCCGGATGGGTACGGGTAGTCGGGTATCGGGTAGGGTAACGGGTACGGGTACCCGATTGCGACCTCTGCCTCACCCCAATCCCGTGTGACGTCATCACACCTCTCCCTCACCTCCGCAGTGTCACGTGACGTCATCACCCCTCTGTTCCCCCAAACTACCCCAGCTCTCGTGACGTCATCACTCACATTCGCTCCCTCCGTATCTCGTGACATCATCACCCCCTCTCCTCACAACCTCAACACCTCAGCATCTCTGACGTCATTGACCCCTCCTGGTGCGTTACAGGGTGGATGGGGTCGATTCGAACATCTCCACTCGAGATCATGAGGGTTTGTTAAGAGATTGGATGGGCTTCATTGCAACGTCCTCACTCAGTGGCGTTGGCCCAGTACCGTGCCCTGGTCGCCCATGGCCCCATGGCATCCAGCCACCTCAGGAGGAGCCATTTCTTACCTTCTTCTGCAGAACCCTGCATGTCGAATACACCGCGGAAGGGATCTGAAACAAGTGCAGTACATGAGTAACATTGACATCTGACATGCACACAACTCCCGCTCGCCGCTCAAGGAGCGATAGCGGTGCTCATTAACCTGGAGCTGTGATGGTAATTCCACATTCCTAAGGCCAGGGCCAGTGTCTGGATAGAACAACCACCGTTGACTCTCCACAATGTGGTACTCTTTTAATTAATGCTGGAAGGATAATAATGATGATGCTGATGTGTTAAAGCACAATCTTCTGTGAGTTGGCAACTCAAACCACATTGAGTACCAAATAAATATTAACTCCCGCTTCATCCATACGGGCACATTATGCAAGTCTCTCCAATAACGGAATGCAGCATATCCGGAAGCAGGCTTACATGACATTATTTTAAAAAAGCATCTTCTATCTCACTCAGACAGAGTTACGTGACGACGTGCAAGTGTGTCTGGAGGCATGTAATGTAATGGCTCCTCAATTAGAATTGATTCTTAGACTTATGATATATGTATTACATAATATGCGTGAAAATCTATTTTACACATATCAAATTTATATCAGTTTTAAGTGAACTCTGCATTCCATTAATATTCCAGACAGATCATAATGATAAAGTTTAAGGGCATGGCCAGAAAGATTTGAATTGAAACCCTGAATCGCTACAATTCACCGAATCACCGGGGGACTTGTGATTAGCTCCGTGTGCTTCCGTGCAAAGAAACCGCACTGGGGTATCCAGCGTGCTTCCATGGTGACCTGGAAAGTAACCTCTGTAATTGATGGTTACTCAATATTTTATACGTAACATAATACAATTCTGTATCTGGTATTTCCCAAAGTAGCGAAATTTAATTAGTTTATGTTTTTATTACTTTATTCAAAATGATTAAACATGGGCAACAGGGGCATTCTGCTCTGCCTGGAGGCCACGTGTTGTGATCTGTGTGCAAAGGCTCCGGGTGTGCTCACATTAACCCACGCAACTGACATCATTTCCTGCATTTTCTTTGTTATAAATATTTTTCTAAATGTATGTAATTATGCTAAGTAACTGAAAAGTGTACATTCATACCTAACTACTGGCATGTTCTTGTGGTAATCTGACCACGGTAATGCATTCCCTACACACTGGATTCATGGCAGTGAGAGAGAGATGGTGAACGTGTTGGGGTGATGGGACTCTGACATTTCACAGATAAAGTCCAGTGTGTCGCTGTATAGTGTTAAAAGCGTTGGAGGGGAAACCAACACTGCATGACTGGAATATAAACTCACCTCTCTATTCAAGCCAACAAATGTGTGAGTGGGTCTTTTTGGAAGAGGTGTGTGTACGTGCGCGCACAACAGGAAGCGGTTGCACAGCGAACAGCACGATGTGCTACGAACCCCGTGACCAATGTCCCTGGCCATGGCTAACTTCAGAGACAAGCGACGTATGGACAAGTTCTGAGTCTCTCCTAAGCTTTATCGGTGTACCTGGTGGGGTGTTTTAATTATCAGAGATGCGCAGCTGCTGCACGCCATCGTACACCTGTGCAGGCGTTAAACAGTGTTTACTCACAGCACTTGTCGTCCCAACTGTCTGATAAAGGATATAAGGGATCACTGTCATTTATATAACGAGAAAAATATTGACACATGTGGCCTCACTGGAACCAGAATTAATTCGAGTAACTCAGCAGACAAAGCCCATGGGCTATTTAACCTGAGACCTTCAAAGAATAAAAATATGTTTTGATAACAATGTATCATGTTGACCAACTTCAAACATTAAAACAAAGCCCTCTCCAGCTCCTAAAGTTGCATATATCTGTCACTTAAAAGGTTAATTCAAGAAAAATGCCCAAAAACAAATCCAGCATTCCCTCGTTATTCACCAAGTTGCTCTCCACGATTTTGGAGTATCCACGAATCGCATCTGAAACTCTAGACGCTGCATCGAGAAAGTGATGGGATAAATGTGTGCGAGATACAATTACGGGAGAGAATGCGATGCAAGAAAGTGATAATGACGCTACTGTGCAGCATCCACATAATTTAAGGCAAGTTGATTTATAAACTATTATTATTTATACTTTCATATTTATTGTTATTTACTTTGTTTATTACAACCAATTTGTATTGTTTTGTGTTATTAGGATATTTCCATGTATTTAATGGATTATTTATTTAAGGATGCTTGTGTTGCGCCCGAAACGTCGTGATTTTTTTAATTTTATACCTCCGTGACTTTACCAAAATAAAACAACGAGTATAGAAAGATTGGTTTTCATAGGCCAATGTCATTATCCACAAAATTTGCTATTCACGAGCATCTCTGGAGCGTATCCCTCTTGAATAACGAGCAAACGCTGCAACTCGTTGTTTAGACACCACACACACAGCACTGCCACAGATGTAGCCGCCTATAACCACGGCCTCAGCAAGCAGCGAGAGTCCTCACCTCTGTGAGGTCGCACTGTGACGCGTCCAACACGTCATCCGCCCCAGCCTCCTTTGCCTGGCCAGACACAGACCACCACAAACCAGATTCAGCAACACCGATGTGTAGATATGGATGTGTAAATATATCGTCTTAAAATGCCTTTCATGAGTGTTTGTGACGAACGTGTTGAGTTGTATTTTAGTTATTTGCGCACCGCTGCCAATGCAGTTATCACCAAACAATTGGTTTAGTAAAAAAAACCCTCTGATAACAGATTTAATTGTCTGTTATAACGATGAGTGGGAATGTGCTTAAGAGAGCCTGGCTGTAAAAATATGTGAGTTCAGATCCCGATGACGGACAGACCAAACCCATAATCATCATCCCTTCAGTGTCGATAAACAAGTACCATTTTGTGGCAAGTGAACCGTGGCTGTGACATGAACAGAGCAGGGGGTGGTAGTCAACCTGTGGCACTGGAGCCGCGTGTGGTGGTGGCTCCCCATATCTGGGCAGTGTGCTGATGACCGGCTCCAGTTAAACAGCAGAGGTCTCACTCCGAATCAGTCGAGCGGCAATATATTTTCATCGGTTGCGTAACGCTGTGTGGAAGCTACCTGGTCTGTCGCTCCGCACGAAGCTTCGGGTCTTCTGGGCCACAGTAATTCCCTCCCTTCTCTACGCTTGCGAAACATTGGACCCCCCTAATGGAGCATCTTCGCCGGTTAGAAACATTTAGGCTGGCCTGCCTACGATCCATCCTGGGTTTAACCAGGCTGGATTGTGTGAGGAGCTCACATCCTTGAAAGATCTGGGCAAAGTCCCATCGGTGAGCTCCTCCGGCAGGCAAGGCTGCGTTGGCTGGGTCATGTAGCCCGCATGCCCAGCCACCGCATGCCTCAACAGCTTTTGTTCGGCCGGATCGAGGGGGCTGGACGGGCGCGGCACGGGCTGGAGAGGAGATGGAGTGATGTGGTACAGGAGGACGTGGAGCTGAGTGGACTTGCCGATGACTGGTACCAGCGGTGTCAAGATCGGCCTCTGTGGAGGAGGCTCGTGAAGGACGCTACTGGGCAGTGGCAGGCTAGGTCCACCTTGACGTTACTGGGCAGTTGGAGGCAGTCGCCCTCCAACAACAACGGAGGGCGGAGGAGCGACGCTCACAACAACGAGCGGAGCGCCGGGTGGCTAAAGCACAGCAAGTTGGCACAGTAGGGGGCACAGGTGGTGCATCAGCCAGTCATCTCGGTCATCTCGGTCAGTCGACCCGTGGCACCTGCTGGGTCTGCCCCGTGACCTCCTGCCAGCGGGCGTTCGACACTTCACGTGATAGCCTCAAGGTGCACATGGCCTGGCACAAGCGTCGTGGTGACGTCACCGCCATTTAGTGGCGAATGGCGGTTGTTGTTGTTGTGTGAGGGTGTGTGTGAGTGAGGGTGTGTGTGAGGGGTGAAAGTGTGGGTGAGGGTGTGGGTAAGGGTGAAGGGTGTGTGTGAGTGTGTGGGTGAGTGTGTGGGTGAGTGTGTGGGTGAAGGGTGAGTGTGTGGGTGAGGGTGTGGGTGAGTGTGTGGGTGAGGGTGTGTGAGTGTGGGTGTGAGTGTGTGAGTGAGTGTGTGGGTGAAGGGTGAGTGTGTGGGTGAGGGTGTGTGTGAGGGTCCGGGTGTGTGTGGGTGAGTGTGTGGGTGAGTGTGTGGGTGTGAGGGTGTGTGTGAGTGTGGGTGAGGGTCTGGGAGTGTGTGGGTGTGAGTGTGGGTGAGTGTGTGTAAGTGAGTGTGTGGGTGTGAATGTGTGGGTGTGAGGGTGTGTGTGAGTGTGGGTGAGGGTCTGGGAGTGTGTGGGTGTGAGTGTGAGGGTGGGTGAGTGTGTGTGAGTGAGTGTGTGGGTGTGAATGAGTGTGTGTGGGTGTGAGGGTGTGTGTGAGTGTGGGTGAGGGTCTGGGAGTGTGTGGGTGTGAGTGTGAGTGTGGGTGAGTGTGTGTAAGTGAGTGTGTGGGTGTGAATGAGTGTGTGTGGGTGTGAGGGTTGTGTGTGAGTGTGGGTGAGGGTCTGGGAGTGTGTGGGTGTGAGTGTGAGTGTGGGTGAGTGTGTGTAAGTGAGTGTGTGGGTGTGAATGTGTGGGTGTGAGGGTGTGTGTGAGTGTGGGTGAGGGTCTGGGAGTGTGTGGGTGTGAGTGTGAGGGTGGGTGAGTGTGTGTGAGTGAGTGTGTGGGTGTGAATGAGTGTGTGTGGGTGTGAGGGTGTGTGTGAGTGTGGGTGAGGGTCTGGGAGTGTGTGGGTGTGAGTGTGAGTGTGGGTGAGTGTGTGTAAGTGAGTGTGTGGGTGTGAATGAGTGTGTGTGGGTGTGAGGGTTGTGTGTGAGTGTGGGTGAGGGTCTGGGAGTGTGTGGGTGTGAGTGTGAGGGTGGGTGAGTGTGTGTGAGTGAGTGTGTGGGTGTGAATGAGTGTGTGTGGGTGTGAGGGTGTGTGTGAGTGTGGGGGAGGGTCTGGGAGTGTGTGGGTGTGAGTGTGGGTGAGTGAGTGTGAGTGAGTGTGTGTGGGTGTGAGGGTGTGTGTGAGTGTGGGTGAGGGTCTGGGAGTGTGTGTGTGTGAGTGTGAGGGTGGGTGAGTGTGTGTGAGTGAGTGTGTGGGTGTGAATGAGTGTGTGTAGTTCTGAGTGTGGGTGAGGGTCTGGGAGTGTGTGCGGGTTCCTCACCAGTGGGGAGCGGTGGTCAAGTGGTTAGCGCTACGCTGCTCTACGAACCTGGCGACCCGGGTTCGATTCCCGCTCACGGACAACACCGGTGACGATTATCTAAACCGGTCCTGGGCCTTCCCTAGGTCGACTCAGCCTAAAATGAGTACCTGGTGCGATGTGTACACATCGCTACTAGGGAGACAAAGGCGTCCGGGCGTGGTGTTGGCCACCCACCCCCTCGTGTGCCGTGCCTGCAATAATAGGTGCTCGCTAACAGCACTTGCCCCTACAGCCTGTCAAGGCTGCACGGGGGATCTTTGTCTGTGTTGCTCACCAGACACAGCTGCAGCTGGAGGCGGCGGTCTGCGTCTCTGCTCGGCTTCTTGCGCCCAAACAGCGGCATGGCGCTGACCACGTCGCCGCCGTCGCCTCGCAGCTCCCCTCCCCCCTCCCCTCTCCTCCCCTTCCTCCTCGCTGCACCCTCCAAGGCTGCGGCTCCCTTCACTCCTTCACCCTCAGGCGGCAGCGGCAGCAGCGGCGGCAGCGGCGGTGGTGGCGGACGGACTGGGCCAGAGCTGGTGGAGAAGTTAACCCACAAGGCTGAGGGCGGCTAGATGCCTCCTTCGCGTTGCCGAGCGGGCGGGTGACAGGACAAGCAAACTGCTCACTTAGAACGATTGACGCCTCGGGGTTGTTGTGGTGGTAGGGGTGGGGGTGGTGGGAGGTGCGGGGGGTGGGGGTTGTTGTGTGCTGGTGGGTGGTGGGGGTGGTCGGGGTTGTTGTGTGCTGGTGGGTGGGGGTGGTGGGGGTTGTTGTGTGCTGGTGGGTGGTGGGGGTGGTGGGGGTTGTTGTGTGCTGGTGGGTGGGGGTGGTGGGGGTGGTGGGTGGGGGTAGTGGGGGTGGTGGGTGGGGGTGGTGGGGGTTGTTGTGTGCTGGTGGGTGGGGGTGGTGGGGGTGGTGGGTGGGGGTGGTGAGGGTGGTGGGTGGGGGTGGTGGGGGTTGTTGTGTGCTAGTCCGGCAAAACAACCTCCTACCTCCTCGCGGTGCCGGACGGGCAACACTGTCGTGGACATTGCTGTGGGGGGAGGGCCAATGCCCATTGGCCTCTCCCCTCATGGCGTCTGTGACCACCACAGTGGCTAAACGGGGGCTCTGGACGGGTGTGAGGGGCTGGTAACCCATCCACCTTCAATTCATTACCACTAAACCACGAATTAAACATAAACCTGTAACAAATAAGCTTGTGCCGGAGGCCCCGGGGGGTCAGGCTTTTATGACGTCTCCTGGCCAAACCCCATTTGGCGGAGCCAGGAGATTGAATTTTCACCCTCGGGGCTCCTCCAGAAACAACAAAAAACCATTGCGGATGGCCACGTGGAATGTTCGAACGCTCACTGCGGAGGAGAGGCTGCCACTCCTCTGTCGGGAGCTGGACCGGTACCGCCTGGATCTCTGTGGCATTCAGGAGGTCCGGTGGACCGGTTCTGGCTCCTGCCACCATGAGGGGTGGACAGTCCTCTACTCGGGGCAGGAGACTGCCAAACAACAGGGTGTGGCTCTTCTTCTGAACAAAAGAATGAAGGGGGCGTGGGAGCGTGGCGGTGAGGTGTGGGAAGCTGTAAGCCCCAGGATACTTTGGGCTCGCCTTCCCATCAACCAGAGGCGAGGAGTGGTGGTCGTGGTTACTTATGCCCCCACCGAAGACGAACATCCGTGGAGGGATGCAAGCAAAGCCGATGAGTCAGACGCTTTTTATGACCTCCTGTCACAGGTGCTGGCTAAAGTGGCCACTCGGGACAGAGTCATCTTGTTGGGTGACTTCAATGCCCGAGTTGGTCATGATGCTGACACCTGGTCTGGAGTGATTGGAAGGCATGGGCCAGATCAGCTCAATAATAACGGTAGGAGGCTGCTAGATTTTTGTGCAGCCCATGGGCTTGTAATTACCAACACGCTCTTCCGGCATCGGCGCATCCACACAACATCATGGATACATGCCGGGTCCAAGCAAGAACATCTGCTGGACTACATAGTGACGGACCAGCGGATGCGAACCCATGTCCTTGACACCAGGACCTACCGTGGAGCTGATCTGTCCTCTGACCATCGACTAGTCATCTGTAAGATGCGCCTGCCTTTCTTCCACTCCGGTGGTGGGTGTACACCCAGGATCCCATTCCAACCAAAAGTGGCCTGGTCTCAGTTAGCTGATGAAAGTTGCAAGCGAGAATTTCATCATCGCTTGCAGCTGGGGTTGGCATCGTCCCCCACTCCACCTGATGTCGAGGGTAAATGGGCGAGGTTTAAGACTGTGACTCATGCAGCTGCTATGCCTGCTTTGGGTACGCGGTCCAGACCTCCCCAGAAACCCTGGCTGACAGAGGAGGTGTTCAGGTTAATTGAGAAAAAGCGACAGGCCCACTCTCATCGCCTACAGCATCCCACGTCAGAGAATGAGGAGGTTTACCGCAGCCTTCGCTCGGAAGTTCGGAGAGCCGTAAGGCGTTGTAAGGATGGGTGGTGGTCGCGGGTTGCTGAGGAGATGGAGTCTGCCTCAGTGGCCCGTGATCACAAATCACTATTTAACTCCATCAAAAAAGTAACCTGCAGCGCCACACCTATTACCATCATTAGAGGAAAAAACGGTGATCCAATCTCCGACCCCCAGGAACAGGTTTGCAGATTTTCTGAGCATTTCTGTGAGGTCCTGGGGGAGGGAAATTCTCTCAGCCAGGAAAACATCATGGCACAAAGTGGGGATAACCCTGCTGAGGCTGCGGTGCCTCAAATATTGGAAGAGGTCACCCCCTGTGAGTGGCTGGCTGAGGTTCCAGCTGTTGAGGAAGTACTGAGGGCGATCCGGAGTCTGAGACCAGGGAAGGCACCGGGCAGAGATGATCTCCCAAGCGAAATGCTGAGGGAGGGTGGCGTTTGTGCACAGACTGCCCTATATGACATCATAACAACAGTCTGGACCACTGGACGGGTTCCGCAGGACTGGAAGGATGCCCTGGTGGTCCCCCTCTTTAAGAAGGGGGACCGCACAGACTGTAACAACTACAGGGGCATCTCACTCCTCAGTGTGCCGGGTAAGGTCCTGGCAAGGATTATTCAACATCGCCTTGCTAGGCACGCTGAGGAGGGGCTTGCGGAGCCCCAATGCGGTTTCAGGAAAGGGCGGTCCTGCACAGATGCCATATTTTCTGTCCGTCTGCTACAGCAGAGGTGTAGGGAATTCCAAAAAGACCTACATCTCTGCTTTATTGACCTGGTCAAGGCCTATGATACCATCAGTAGGACTGGACTCTGGGTTGTTCTTCGTGCTTTCGGAGTCCCTGACCCTCTGCTCACGATCATTAAGGACCTTCATGATGGTGAGCGGGCCCGGGTAAAACTACGTGGCCGGGAGTCGGAGCCTTTCCCTGTACACCTTGGGGTGCGACAGGGATGTCCTCTGGCTCCCACATTATTTAACATCTATTTTGACCGCGTAGTTCGTGAAGCCTTCAATAGCTGTACCGGAGGAATTTCCATTTGGTACAGATATAATGGGAGGCTGATCGACGCCCGGGTGCGATCAAGGGATGGCTCCCTATTGGTCAACCACGTTATGTATGCCGATGATTTGGTAATAGCTGCTCATTCAGAAGAGGAGTTGGAGGCGCTGTTGCTGAGACTGGAGCGTGCCACTAAGAGGTGGGGCCTTACCATCAGCCCCACCAAAACCAAGCACCTGCCTGGGTATTTTGTACCATCGGACACTCCACCCCCACAACTCCCAATTGGTGATGGGGCAGTTGTGGAGAGAGTGGAGAGTTTCCCATACCTGGGCAGTATGCTTATGACCAGCTCCAGTCTATCAGCAGAGGTCTCACTCCGAATCAGTCGAGCGGCAATATCTTTTCATCGGTTGCGTAACGCTGTGTGGAAGCTACCTGGTCTGTCGCTCCGCACGAAGCTTCAGGTCTTCTCGGCCACGGTCATTCCCTCCCTTCTCTACGCTTGCGAGACGTGGACCCCCCTGGTGGAGCATCTTCGCCGGTTGGAAACATTTAGGCTGGCCTGCCTACGATCCATCCTGGGTTTAACCAGGCTGGATTGTGTGAGGAGCTCACAAATCCTTGAAAGATCTGGGCAAAGTCCCATCAGTGAGCTCCTCCGGCAGGCAAGGCTGCGTTGGCTGGGTCATGTAGCCCGCATGCCCAGCCACCGCATGCCTAAACAGCTTTTGTTCGGCCGGATCGAGGGGGCTAGACGGGCGCGGCACGGGCTGGAGAAGAGATGGAGTGATGTGGTACAGGAGGACGTGGAGCTGAGTGGACTTGCCGATGACTGGTACCAGCGGTGTCAAGATCGGCCTCAGTGGAGGAGGCTCGTGAAGGACGCTACTGGGCAGTTGGAGGCAGTCGCCCTCCAACAACAACGGAGGGCGGAGGAGCGACGCTCACAACAACGAGCGGAGCGCCGGGTGGCTAAAGCACAGCAAGTTGGCACAGTAGGGGGCACAGGTGGTGCATCAGCCAGTCATCTCGGTCATCTCGGTCAGTCGACCAGTGGCACCTGGGTCTGCCCCGTGACCTCCTGCCAGCGGGCTTTCGACACTTCACGTGGCCTCAAGGTGCACTTGGCCTGGCACAAGCATCGTGGTGACGTCACCGCCACTTAGTGGCGAATGGCGGTTGTTGTTGTTGTTGTTGTGTGCTGGTGGGTGGGGGTGGTGGGGGTGGTGGGTGGGGGTGGTGGGGGTTGTTGTGTGCTGGTGGGTGGGGGTGGTGGGGGTGGTGGGTGGGGGTGGTGGGGGTTGTTGTGTGCTGGTGGGTGGGGGTGGTGGGGGTGGTGGGTGGGGGTGGTGGGGGTTGTTGTGTGCTGGTGGGTGGGGGTGGTGGGTGGGGTAGTGGGGGTGGTGGGGGGTGGTGGGTGGGGGTGGTGGGGGTTGTTGTGTGCTGGTGGGTGGGGGGTGGTGGGGGTGGTGGGGGTTGTTGTGTGCTGGTGGGTGGTGGGGGTGGTCGGGGTTGTTGTGTGCTGGTGGGTGGGGGTGGTGGGGGTGGTGGGGGTGGGTGGTGGGGGTGGTGGGGGTTGTTGTGTGCTGGTGGGTGGTGGGGGTGGTGGGGGTTGTTGTGTGCTGGTGGGTGGGGGTGGTGGGGGTGGTGGGTGGGGGTAGTGGGGGTGGTGGGTGGGGGGTGGTGGGGGTGGTGGGGGTTGTTGTGTGCTGGTGGGTGGGGGTGGTGGGGGTGGTGGGTGGGGGTGGTGGGGGTGGTGGGTGGGGGTGGTGGGGGTTGTTGTGTGCTGGTGGGTGGGGGTGGTGGGGGTGGTGGGTGGGGGTGGTGGGGGTTGTTGTGTGCTGGTGGGTGGGGGTGGTGGGGGTGGTGGGTGGGGGTGGTGGGGGTTGTTGTGTGCTGGTGGGTGGGGGTGGTGGGGGTGGTGGGTGGGGGTGGTGGGGGTGGTGGGTGGGGGTGGTGGGTGGGGGTGGTGGGGGTTGTTGTGTGCTGGTGGGTGGGGGTGGTGGGGGTGGTGGGGGTTGTTGTGTGCTGGTGGGTGGGGGTGGTGGGGGTTGTTGTGTGCTGGTGGGTGGGGGTGGTGGGGGTGGTGGGTGGGGGTGGTGGGGGTGGTGGGTGGGGGTGGTGGGGGTTGTTG